TCTTTTTCCGGCATATAGCGTATCTAATTAACCTCGTAGAGTAAGTCGTAGGCGGTGCCAAATTTACCTTATAAAGAAATTATGGCCGAAAGTACGATATCTATTAGGCGAAAGCATAAGGAAATCTAGGTCACTTCCCAAAATAAACGGATTCAAAGGCCTAATATTCTTGCCGTATAGCTAACACATACTTTATTTATTCAAAATCCGTCCAACTTTAACACGGGCAGCGTGAAGTACGCCCCAGATGCCAGATATTCTCCCTCCCCACGTATTTTATAGATAGGCCCTGAGGCTAAAATCCAGTTAACGTCAAAACCGAAGCGTGCCTACAGACACAGGTACAAGTCTGGTTATATTATATGCCGTCGTAAAAGAATAAAATGCGATCAGCATCAACCAACATATACGCGACTTTCCATTGACAAAGTCTCTTTAGCCATTACGTCTCGCTAACAGAATACCCCAGGCGATAATTGTGGGAAGAGTGAACTTCTATGCGAGGGCTATGAAGCACCGGTGCCTCCACAGATACGCAAAGCTTTGAACTCTCGTGAAGCCGTTTCACCTTATGCAGAGCAAACTGTCCAAGACCAGATTCCTCTACCCAGACGTGGCCAGCCAGGTGGACTGGATATAGCAGGACCTTATTCTGATTAACCCACTATCCGGCAGGTCATCCATAGAGATAACTCAAAAACCATTAACGAGTTAGGGAGCTTAAACGAAACTCAAAGTCCTTATGTTGGTCTTTCGCCGAAGTACACCGCAGGCGCTTACAATCAGCTTCACTCGCTAATCCACGTACCTTCTCCAAATCCTCGCTCTCTATCCGAAAAGCAAATAATTACGTTAATTCAACAACTCTTTAGGGAAACAGGCAGACAGAGAAACTCAAATTATTTTTCAGATTCGAACGGAGGATAGGCGAGTGTAAACAGCAGATAGTTGTTTTGTTGTCTGCAACCGCCAAGCTTTCAGGGGCACGGCCTATGGAAAAAGTATACCTCCAGCCGGCAGGGTCAAGATACCACCAACTTAAGGTATATATCCCTATGGAAATTATTTTATTATGTCTTTTATTCTCCTTTTTCGTGGCAGCGTTTAGATTTGGAAATCAATGCTTAGGTCCGCTATAGTCAATTAAACGCGTATATCACCAGAATCTATCGAATGCTAAGTCTCACCAATTCCTTATCTCTGGGATCAATTCATAATCCGCTCGGCTTCCGTGTTGTAAACAACCAATCTTTGCAACTAGATATTAGTCTTTTGATACCTGACGTGCGAAATGGATCAAGCTTACAATTAACGATTTGAATTAAAGAGGAGGGTGTTTAAGAGGAGGGTGTTTAATAGGAGGGTGTTTAAGAGGAGGGTGTTTAAGAGGAGGGCGTTTAAGAGGAGGGTGTTTAAGAGGAGGGTGTTTAAGAGGAGGGTGTTTAAGAGGAGGGTGTTTAAGAGGAGGGTGTTTAAGAGGAGGGTGTTTAAGAGGAGGGTGTTTAAGAGGAGGGTGTTTAAGAGGAGGGTGTTTAAGAGGAGGGTGTTTAAGAGGAGGGTGTTTAAGAGGAGGGTGTTTTAAGACGGAACACTTCGCGCGGTACTCCTTCAGCGAGTGTCGACTTATTTGAGAAAGCAGCTCTAAAAGGGTAGTAAATTTCATCTATAGCTAAATATTGGCCGGAGACCGATAGTTACGTCCACTTTAGCAGGTTAAAGCCCTAGTTCCCAGGTATCGGGGCATACTGTATCGTCTCGGCGACTCTTTATTGCCGATAACGGAAATCTGGGACACGCCGGCTAGCTATTAAGAAGTGACATGCCTATATTCAACAATTTAAGTATATATTTGCCTTAATTTAATCCAATTGATAGTGATAACCCTTAATAAATCTTAACCCTAAGTCAAATTTCTCAACGCTAAACTGAAATAGTTTGAATTACTGATTTTCCAATTACGCTTGGCTCAGTATCGTAAATTCCGTATAGGTTCTAGTTTTCAGTCAAACGGTAAAAGCGAGGTTCAAAGGATAGATCAAAGTCACTTACCAAAAAAGCCAGCTACGAACATTTAGAGGGAGACTAATAGGCCTATCGCTCCGTGGTCTTCGACATAGATCATCCGGCCACAATTCACTACTCATGATTTTATAGGGCGAAGCAAACAGACTTCCTATTTCTCCGTTATTAACAGTTCCACATACGCTTAGAGATAAGGTTTCGTCGCAGTGTCAAGATAAGTTAGGTTGCCAGTACAAGGTTCACTTTGAGAGCAAATTTCACTACCGACGGAGTGTAGCTATAGACCAATGCCCGTATTCTTCGCTTTCGAAAGCCCAACAGAAGTGGAAGTACCATATCGCTCTGATAAATCTACAGCGATGATATTCGACCTTTCAGAAACCACCGAATATGATAAAGATTTAGCAGAGCGAGTGCCTTATGGAGCCAAAGTAATAGTAGAGGTCACGGGAAGTGTTTTCCATATGGTTTCAGTGATAGCGGCTAGAGTCTCCCTACAGTAATAGTATAGGGCAGCCAAGCTACAACAGGCAAAAACAAAACTAGAAGTTATAAGTAACCCTAAGCAATACCCCATTTTGGCCGGCTCCTCTTTGGGGGCGCCGATATCAATTTCGAGGTGAGAAAGGTATCTTCTATAGAAAAGTATTTAGCGTATTATATAGGCAGCTCTCTGTAGCACAATCGAGCAAGTGTCTTACAGCTCTTCAGTATGTGAGGCTAGCAGCAATATATACGCATCAAATTTCTATAGAAGTTTTTTGAATCTTATCAGGGATCGAAATATTACGGATTCGGGTTTTCATCCCTTCACTTTCTGTCTTAACGTTTAAATCAAGATTTTCGAACTAGCATTATAATAAGATCCCTAAAAGCAAGATACATTGCAATTGAGAAAGACACGCGCGTTCAAGATCATTAGAAAGAAGAGAAGACTAGGAAGGCGCCTATTTGCGGCGGGAATATGAAACAATATTTATAGAAAGGGTGTGTGGAGACTATTTCGTAAAGGAATATTAAAAAAAAAAGGAAAAAGCGAACTATCGTATTTCAGCGTTATAGTGTGTTTTCACCGTTCCTCATAACCTCACTAGCGGTTAGCTCATCCGTATTTAGTTTGACCTAGTGACAATCCACGTAAGTGGGGACCCGCAACTTAGTACTCAAATCGGAGTTTTCGGAATGGACCTACGTTCCGTATAGGCTTATGCCTCGGACCTTTTTTTCTGGCCAATAGAACCTTATAAGTCTTCTGGGTCATATATTTATTAAACGTATAAGCACACTGATAGGCCGCTTCACAAATTCTCTATATAAAGTTTATCCAACTAGACGAGGCATTCCCTTACATTTTCTAAGTCTTACTTCCGCTATCGGCAAATTCTCCAAAATCCAATTCGCGGCGGGAGTAACAAAGCAGCCACCCAGCCTCAAGATCACTACGAATATTAACAGAAAAATTGAAATGGCTCACCATACGTCAGGTATCCGAAAACCCTCAAAGATACGGTTTTCTCATCCGCAAGAATAGTCTGCGGAAGAAGAAAAGAGGATTTCAGAGCTCAGGAGTAAAGGCTAGGGGTGGATAGCCATTAGTAGAGAGCTTCCAGGGAGGTCTCCTATTACCTGCCAGGTTCAGTTCCAAAATACTCTGGACCCAAAACTTAGGTAGAACGAAGAGGACATAACCAGGTTCGCTCATTTATACAACCAGTAAGTGCTAAGAAAAAGCCTCTCCAACTACTTTTCTAAACTATAGAGAGATCCAAAATAGAAATGTGGTCATAAGTCGCTCTATAGGTAGGTATACCTTAGCGTGCAGCCGAAGCTATATATTAGCAGCTAGGGGGCCATTCTTTTTCTATTTTCAGATATAAGGACATACGTCTGTTATTTAAGTTACAGGAATTAGGCAAACACTCATTACGATTTCTGTCTACAGCATCGAATTCTGGATCAAGCACTATCATTTCTCCTAGTTTTTAACTATTCAAGAAAGCTAGCCACTCTCTGTGTTCACATCTACAGAATGTCCAATACTATTACAACACGAGCTCAACGTAGCTCGCCAGAGTATCCTATAAGTTATAAATCAGTCTCTGCTAGGTCGAGATAAATTTAATATACAATCGTTATATTATATGTACTGAGCAGGAATTAATCCCGGATAGCGGACCTACCTAGCGGCCTCACGATCTCCTCTCACAAACACTAAAGAAACCACTACCGGTTTTCGGGAGAGGGTATCTAATCTAAATGAATAGGGGCTTACTCCTTAATAATCATAAAAGAAATCGAAATAGCGATAGATACGCTACCACGGCCCGGGTCACCACCTAGGAGGTACGAGAACTTATCTATATACTCAAATATTATCCGCTATCAGACCGCACTAATCATATCCACAAATTACGAGCTATAAGAGGAGAAAGACAAACGTAAAAAGAATTTTCTTCAATTTTGGGACAAGAAGCTCGACGAGAAGGCCCAGGCCTTATGATCACAGCTTAAAATACTCCCGCTAACACCCCCGGCCAGATCGTGGCTAGCGGTAGCGGCCAGCAGCGACCACCTTCCTAGCCGCTCCACTATTCGCCCCGCAAATACGGTACCAGAAACCCACGCTTACAGCCAAGGAATCCACCGCAGTTTTCACAATAAATATTCACCGTTTAAGTTTATCTAACAGAATATATACACTATTAACCAGTCTGCTTACCTTACTTTATCTACTATACTTACTCACATTCAATCTTTATAAATACTTAGGCAACTTATCTGATGTTTCGTATTTCAAAGCTCGCCCGGAACCCATATCCTACCTCTTATTACAGTTACCGCGAGCCATGTAGTATTCACTTCTTCTCCTAACCGTGATAGGGCTCACACCACTGTTAATTAACACCCTGGCATATATTATAACGGTTCCTATAACTACGACCACAGCTATAACCGCGGCCATCGCGTCTTCGGCAGTTATGTCCTCGAATTCAATTAAAACGACCGATAGGCTAGTGTTCTGTCACTTTATAGTGAGTACCTCGTATCGGAAAACCCGAAACACCTCTCTGACCTATATAACCAGATTGGCATCACGAGCAACCGCCAGAATTCTGCCGACTACGACGATAACATGAAACACGCCAAAGGCTTAGGGATTAATGCCTTTGCCTTAAACTTTAGAACTAATTTCTACACCGATACCTAGCTCCGCTTCGCCTATAATTCCGCCGCTCGGAACGGAATAAAGGCATTTCTCTCTTTTAATTTTAACTAGTGGCATACCGGCCAGGCAGGCGCTATCGGGGCAAAGATTAAGGAGTACGCCGACCACTTAGCTCAACTTAGGGTCGATAGCAAGGTCTTCGTATCTTCCTTTGTAAGTGAGGTCGTTAATGTTGCTACTGTGAATTCTGCGGCGGGACAGGATCTTTTCTTCGCGCCTAACTTCTAACCTAACTAGGGCAACTTCAGTAGTATTTAGGGTGCACTGAATTGGATAGCTTGGCCTAATAATAGTAATAATAAGGCTCCGTCAGAGGAGCACTATATCAGTGTGGCTGACGGTGATAAAGCTTATATCGCTGCCTTGAACGGGAAGCCCTATATTGCTTGTAAGTCCTTTATGATCGATCCTTGGTGTTCTTTCTACTGATAGTGTAACTGTCTCGGCTTGGTTCTTAACTCATTTTGGAGGAGAGGTTACCTACAGTAAAAATATGGTATTCCCCTCCGGTCTTCTTTGGTATAATCGCTAGCGAGAGATTTTAGAACTTGGTCCTCGCTTCGTAGAGATCATCACTTGGAATAACTACGGAGAATCATATTATATTAGACCCCTTTCATCCCCTTATACTGACGACGGTGCTTCTAAGTGGGTAATAGATATATAGTGTAGTGGGAGAATTGGTGACATAATGAGCCTATGTGTGGCCTCAGGCATGATTTAATGTCTGCAGTGCATAGTACATCTCCAGACACACTTGGAGGGAGAGAAGTCATCTACCCAATTCATTCAGGATTCACCCAATTTCTTCTATCCATGATGCAGCATTAAGATTATCCCGCACGGCCGCAACAGGGCATCAGTACGGCCTCATCCAGCATCCTCTACACCAGATAGGCAGTGTGTGTGTGTGTTGTCCAGTCTGCATCGCCAGACAGCCATCGAGCCGTTCCCATTTCATATTGGCGTCCCCGGGAAGGCTCTTTTGTCAAGGCACATCACTATACGAAGAAACACACACCTAAAGGGTGGGGATCGCGTTTGACCCTGAAGGCTATAAGACTGTCTGAGACCTCAAGCGGGAGACCACATTCACTAGTGATTGCGACGGCATACAGTCGGTGCGGACAAACGAGTGACTAGCCGAGATACAGTGTTCTCCTAAATACACCTAGTTCCTACGAGGAATACTATCGGACTGATATGCGGGAGATGCGGCGGTGCTTCAGATACTACTGAAGATGTAGCCTATCTAATTAAATGCGGTGGCCGAGCAGGGGTACCTAGGTATCCGATGGCTATAGCACTCTACCACACAGATAATATTGATACAAACAATTCTATATTATAAATTATAAGAAGAGGAAGCGGCCTCGACAAGAAAAAAGGAAGAAGAAGAAGAATTATTAAAGAGATACGATCAAAAGCAAAGCGCATAGAGTTAGCATTTCTTTTTGGCCGAAAAGCTATCTCTTTTCTATAAGTAAGTAATAGCGTACGGTACGCAAGGTGTGATAGCTCCTAAGCTGTCGGACCCTAAGGGTATTCTAACCTTTATAGATTACTGTGAACCTACACTAGAAAGATCCGAATCGACCCTAAGTGGTAATAATTATACGGATAATACGGATTATAAGCACCAGCCACTATCGTCCTTAGCCGAACCGCCTAGTAGGGTGTAGGCTATGCCTTATCCTTATATAGTTTAAGTGCCTTATTTCTCTGTATTGCTAGCTCTAGGATCCCTAAGAGCACTATACTTTGATAAGACCGATATCTCTGAGTTCCTGGAGAAGCTATAGGATATATATTTCAGATATAGTGTTAAAAGTGATAAAGATATTATAGGTATATTACCTCAGTACTATGCGAAGGTTACTAAGTCTTAGGTGAAGAGATAAGACTCCTGGCTAAGAAAGGACTAGGATATCTTTAAGGAAGCTTTCTTAGAGCACTTCTATAATAACGATAGTGAGTAGCAAAGGTACACAAAGATATACCTTTAATCCCTTATATAGGTTAAGCGGATAATATAGGATAATATCCGCTCGTATCTTAATAAGTTCGATAATATCTCTGGCTGTGTCTACTTAAAAGGCGAGGTTAGCGATATAGATAGGGTAAGTCTCCTTATCTAAGGACTTCCGTAGTAGCTTAAGGAGAAGGTTATTAGAAGGCATTCTTATAAGTAGTTACCGAGAGAGACACTAATCACTTATTCGGAGGCATATATAGTAATTAGGTTATATATTAGAGAGAAAACCGATATTCAGAGAATTCTTTTGACTGTCGAATCTTCTCCGAGTAACCCTAAGCGTAACCAATAACTTTATCCCCTATAGCAGTCGCCTACTACTATTACGAAGCCTTAGGAAAATCGGTAATTAATTGTTAGTTAGGTCTAGCGTTAGGATAAATAGGATAGGAAGCTTAGAGAAAATATAATCACAGATAGAGGCACTTACTCTTAAGCTATAGGCTAGCTAAGATATAAGGAATAATATTCGGTACGAGCCTAATAGAAGAAACCCTTCGAATAGCCTTAGCGCTAATCCTTTAGCAAAATACTAGATATACGGAGGTGCCTACTTCTCTCGACCAGATTAATATCTATCTATCCGCGATATATAAGGCCGTAGTATTATATACTATAATACTGCGAATCAGATAGTTTTAGGTACTATTAAATAACTAGGCCCGAGACTACGCGTGATCCTAGGATAATTAAACTAAGAAGCCTTCTAAGCGCAGTATAATAACTAGAAGAAGCAAGAGTCGTACAGAGTATCCGTGTAGCTAAGCAGTAATATCGCTTATGCTACTCTTCCTGCTCCTACTTATCTTACGAACCTAAATATACCTATCTACTCTGTTACTGCCACGCTTCTTAGTATCGCGCCTATATAGGAGAAGCTCGAGGAAAGCGAGGATAAGGAAGCAATTATCCTATTCGGTGCCGTTAACGCTATTAAAGGCCGTCCTATAAAGCGCCGCAGAGACTAAGATATTATTAGAATAAGGAACTCCCAGACTAGCAGATTCTAACCGTATATTACTAATACCAATAATAATAATATAATATAAGACAGATAGCCTAAAGAGACTTAAACTATACGGCCTTAGTAGGAAGCTACTCCGCTATATAGCTAGGTTCCGAGAAGAGTCCGCGGCCCTATTAACCCAGATATTGCGCAGCGAAGATCTTAGCTTTCGGATATTATGATATAAAAGATATAGGAAACCGAGATCACCCTTACGATCGGTGAGCTCGCCGGGTCTGCTCCGAAGATACGCGCTAAAATAGGCAAAGGTGTTAGCATAGACATTATTAACTAACGTATTAATAAGGTACTCTCGTAAGTATATACTCAGTCGAACTTCGCAGACGTCTCTCTCTCGAAGGAAGTGGAAGATAAGATTAACTAAATTATAAGAGATATTACTAAGTATTATTAGGAGATAGGTAGTCCTATCAATATAAAAGATCTGGCCGCGAAAGTAAGCTACTAGAATACCTAGATAGCAGATACCTCGCCCGTGTCTTCTCCTGTGAATACTCTAGAGACCTCCTATTTATAATAGTTTCCGTCGGCGGATAAGTGGTTAAGGCGTATATTAATACTAGATTGTTAGTTAATATTATTCGCAGAGATATCGCCCAATCTATATAGGCGCAGATACGGCTAAAGCCGAGGCTAAAGCTCGTTCCTATCGATAGCGGTGAGTTCGCAGTTAGTGCTTATATTAAGAATCTGCCAATTAATATCGGTGATATCGTAACTGAGTCGTATACTATAGTCGGGGATAGTTATACGAACAATCTCCTACTTAGTAGGATATAGGCGAAAGACGTATTACTGTAAACCTCTGAGAAAGGTGATAGGAGGGTTATCTACACGATATCGAGCTAGGACAGAAGGAAGCGCGTTAGCTTTGAAGCGTATTATCCACGGAATAGGGGATCCTTCTATAAAGACTAACTCTAGCCTAAAGAATATAAGACTTTTAGTTTAAAAGCCTAAGTAAGTATTTAGCAGCTACCTTAATACCTACCTCTGTCCTAGCGGCCGAGTCCACCGAGACTGTTTACTTAATAGCACTATCGAATACTATAAATACGATAATCACTAAAGAAGAAATAATAAAAATATATAGAAAGCAAGAAAATACAAAAATATAGCGATAAGAGAAGAAAAATTATACGGGGGAGATAAATTACGGGGTAGATAGTTTTTCGGCTAAAAAGATCTCTCCTTATCTTAGTGCCTTACAGATCTAGTATCTAATAGAACCTTATTACTGCTAGAAGACTATAGCTAATATTACCTATTTCGACGAAGTTAAGTACTGTATATCCTTTTCGGACTTTATTATATTAGAGCTAGGATTCCCTAAGACGAGACTATCTAATACCCTTCGATTAAGGAACTATATCGCCTACCGTGCGTAAGTTAATACCCTTTATAAGAGGAAGGCAAATAAGATACACTTAGTTAATTTATCTGATTCCAATAGGTCGATCCCCGCCGGCAACCCTGACTAGCAAAAGATATACCTCGAAAAGTACCACACGAAGTACCGCGCCACTAATACTTCCTCCGAATTTAATAACTTACTACGACCTTATATAGTAACTATTACGAGAGGGGCTAGGCTCACGCCTAAGAGAGAGGAAACACTACTTATTGTTGGGATATAAGGGTAAAGCTACCACGAAGCAGATCGTGGCCCCTTAAGTCCGTGGGATCAACCTTAGTCTGACTAGGTCAGTCGGTGCCAGACAAAGGTAGAAGGTCAAAGGTCGTAGGATAGACTATAAGCAGATATAGCCTAAACGAAGGCAGAACCACAGTCCTGAGGATCAAAGGAAGAAGGTAGAGATGACTTTGGAAAGTGGAAAATGACTTGATTCTATCTGCTAGAAAAGGAAGGACGTATTTATAGGCTAGGATAGCCTAGAAATGACGTCTAGAATGACATACAAATGACGTATAAACACTAGGCAGCAACATAATGAAGGTGGCAAAGAAGGGAACCGAAGAGAAGCGAAAAGAATGATATCAAGGATCGACGGTCTAAGCCACCCTGAAGGCATCCCCGTAGGATCAGGCTATGCATGCCTAAAGGTAGACCATTTTACCCCTAAAGGAAAATGGTCCCGCCTATCGTTCGGGGGAGGGCCGCGGACCAGAATCAGAAGTGGTCAAAACATCATTTTGATAGAAGAGAAATCTGGTCACGTGATCAATGCAATCTGGTCTTATATGTTGAATATAAGGATAGATCTTTCTATGTAGCATTGGTCTATATTCCAATACTTATTAGTATAGCTCTTCTCCCTAGAGAGAGACTACTACTACGTAAGCTATTATTTAAGAGGGAAAGGGTGCTTATATAGTCTTAGGAATATATAAGTCGTATTTATAAAGAAGTTATGCTAGCCTAGTATATTAAGACTGTGCCCTATAAAGCTTAGTAATATCCTAGCTTTAAGATTCCCTATACTCTCGCGCCTATTATTAATAAGATACTCCGAGAAAGACTGCAGAAGGGTATCCTTAAGCTATGCGATAGTCCGTACAGAAACCTATAGTTCCTAGTAAAGAAGAAAGGCATAGGTAAGTATCAGTTAATTAATACTGCGATACTAATTAATAAGGTCATAAAGCGAGACGCAAATATACCCCAGACGTTAATAAGTTCGCTAAAGAATTTGCGGGACTTACACTAGCCTCTTTAGTTAACCTCTATTCTAGATACGATTAGATTACCCTCGCAGAAGAAAATAGGGACCTCATTACTATTTAAATCCCGCTAGGCCTTCTGCGATAGACCACTATCCTATAAGGCGCGGCCAATTTAGTACCATAATTCCAAAGGGTAATATTATAGATCTTATATTTAATTTTTAGTATTATTACTAGGTTATTTCTGGACGATATTACGGTCAAAGGGCCGCGGTCCCGATATAACGATAAGTTCGTATTACTAAGAATACGTAGGTTTATCCTTAAGTATCTCCAGAATCTCGACGAGACTTTATATCTTCTTAAGCTAGCTAATACTACTATCTTAGCGGAAAAATCTTAATTCGCTATATTAGGCATTAAAGTTATTAGCTAGGTCTACGATATCAATAGGCGCCGCGCTACAGAGAGTAAGGTGGCGAAGCTTATTAACTAGCTAACCCCGTTAACTAAAGATAAACTGCGCTCTTTTATTAGACTAGCCGTCTACTTCCGTATTCTAGTGGCCGGGTTTTAGATTATTATAGATAGCCTATACGCCTACCTAAGGAAGAATACCCTATTCCAGTGGGGGGCGAAGCAGCAGTCCGCTTTCGATTAGGTCAAAGAAGTGCTCTCTATATTCCCCACTATATTACCTATCGACTATAACTTTAAGCCTCTGGTAATTATTGTCGCGGTAGACACATCTAGAAAGGGTTAGGGCGCCGTCCTAATGCAAGAACGAGATAGTGTTAGGAAACCCGCGCGATATAAATTAGGTGCTTAGACAGAGACGTAGCTTACCTACGATACGGGCAAATTAGAATATTATGCTATACTAATAGCATTAAAGAAGTTCCGATACTAGCTATATAGTATCTACTTTATATTAGAAACAGACACGAAAATATTAGTGTCCTAACTAAATCGCCCTACGGCCGACCTACTTAGTGCATTAGTGACTCGGTAGATAGTATAGATCCGACTCTTTGACTTCGACGTTAAGTATATATTAGGGAGGAAGAATAGCGCGGCAGATAGGCTTTTAAGGCGTCCTGCTACCGAAGAAGAAATCAGGTAATAATAGTAGGAGGTTAACGTTAATAACTTTATTAATACGGAAGTGTCCTACTTACGGGCGAGCTGTTTCCTAGCGCGTGCCGCTATTATAACAGACGAGGACGAGGACGAGGATAATAACCCTATCGCTGACGCTATAGTCCTACCTAGACATTGACATAACCCATGGGTTGGGTCCATGGGTCGAACCCAACCCGTCCATGGACGGGTCCTGGACACCTACCCCGAACCCATGGACGGGTTAGGTCTGGCTGCCTATGGACGGGTTAACCTATGGGTTTCTTGGCAACCCATAGTACCGTAAGACATAAGTTATACAATTTATGTAGTATTTAATGTATTAGAGTGGTAATATTTAGACAGAATATTACCGCATTTATTTAGGAAGTGAAGATTAAGTGAAGATTAAGTGAGATTAATTAAATACTAAACTATTTACTAATTTCGAACCCTTTATGTATCCTTGGCGCCTTCCTTACCCTTCCAGAATGCCGTACTTGGCTTATTAAGGGTAAACCACTATTATTATTATCACTTTGCTCACTTTTATAATCAGACAAAACACTCTTTCGTCTCTTCCCTACCCTTATAGATAGCCTCACTTTATCGTTACCTCCCTTAGTATCGCTGATTGGATTAATCCCTTCTAACGAAGGTGAAATCTTCTTATTTTTACCTTCTTCAGGGATCTCTAGAGCCCGAGCTAGTTTAAGCTATTTATCTTCTATCTCAAATTGAGTAAGGCAAGAGAATATCATTAGATCCTGGATAGTTGTTAAGTTTAGACGACCTCGGCGATAATAACAAATATCGCGGGCTAAATTAAATAGCCTCTCTACCCCCGCACCAGTAGCGGGAATAGAGAAGATATCGCGGGCTACCCGTGCGAGGGTAGGATATTCAAATTAATAGTCTCTCCAGAAGGCCTGAGGGGTAGTGCGTATAATACCTAAAGAGAAAGAGAAGTAAGCAAAGAGGGTAAAGAGGCTTAATAAGCGAGCAAGCCTTTAAATAGGAGTCGATCAGACTTATAGAAGGAGTCGATCAGACTCATAAAAGGAGTCGATCAGACTCGTGGGAGTAGTCGCTTAGACTTAATAATATAAGGGATTAACCTTATAAGAGGAGTCGACCTAACTAAAAAGAGGAGTCGACCTAACTAAAAAGAGGAGTTAGTCTAACTTAAAAGTGGAGTCGAGCTAACTTAAAAGAGGAGTGGAGGAGACTTAAATAAAGAGGCTTACCGGCTTAAAGATACCGTGCGAGTTTATCCCGGTCTAGGTTAGATTCACCTTTATCTTCGAGTAACCGATCAAGTTCCGACCCTTATATATAAGCTTTAGATAGAAGGGTGTTATTCTCTTCGAATTAATAAGCTTTAATCCGATCTTAAAGGGTGCTGTGATAGTGTTCGGCCTATATCTGAGTAGAGCCCTCTGGCCCACCAGACTATTCCTTGCGTTTGAAGTACTGTAACTTATCCTTTGGTGCGAGGATAGTGCTATACGCATATATATTACTAGCCTTAGGCTAATCGGTCTTTGCGTAGTACTTACGGAGCTTCTATAGGCCTGCTTTAAGAGCGATAAGTATCTGTTGCTTCTATTTAATCTAATATTCGTTAGTATAAGGGTAAATAAAAAGTAAGAGAGAAGTGAGAGAAAAGTGAGAGCGTACCTTCTTCTTTTTAAGCTGACTAATTAACGCCTCGAGGTATTTAAATAGCTTATTATAAAGCTTAAACACCTAATGGATAGTCACGTCTTTTGTCTTTGAGAATGTGCTTATATATAGGAAGAATGGTCTTATGAGGCAAAGAAGATAGTTAACCTGTCGCTATTCCTCGGAATTAAGCTTTAGGTTGTCTAGGCACTTAATATAGCAGTACCTATTAAAGTATGGCTATAGTCGTTTAGCTCTTTATAATATCAGATAGGTAGAATTCCACCGTGTTCGGACGTCCTGAATTAGGACTAATTAACTAAGTTCTATCGATTGAAGCCTAAGGAATTCCGTATGCCTTTATAGGCTTCCGTTAATATATATTATAAGCCGGCGTACCCTATCGAGGGTGTTTGCAATATCCCCTTTCTGTCCTCGCTGGGTAGAAGCCTTCTGTAGCTTATCGGTCCACACTATATTCACTGTGTCGTTCTTTAGCTTTACTTTGATCCGATATAGGAGCTTATTAAGGCTAAGCTGAATCACATACGCCATACACGGAATATGAACAATAGAGATATCTGGATAGGTCCGTTGGACCTTATTAAATATTATCTTATTATTTAACGTATTATCAGTGGTGATAGCCAGAATCTGATCTTTAATCCTATATCTGTTAATAACAATATATAGGGCTAAAGCAAGGTTCTCCCCAGTATATATACCCTCGAGGGGTTCGAAACCGAGTAGGATCTGCCTATATTCCCACTATTTATTAAGGAAATACCTAGTGATAGCTATAAACGCCTAATAAAAGGGCGATGTCTAGCAGTTAAGTATAAGTGATAGCTTTGCGTCTGACAGAAGCATATTTAGTATACCTTACTATTAGATTTAGACGGTACTTTAAAGCTAACGAGCAAGGGTTTTACCCGTTTGGATAATAGGGAGGGAAGGGGCTTATTAGGTTAAGCGTAAAAGGTCTCGAAAGTGCTAGTTTTCGATAATCTGGAATAGTAGACGAAGGCTAGTGATTATGACCAAAAGCTGCTTCTTCTAATCGTTTTTATCCTATACGTCGGGCGGGGGAGCGCATAGAGCCTAGTGATTCAAACAAAGGAGTATTAGTCTTACTTCTCTTTCACTTTTCTTTCACTTCTCTTTCACTTTTCTTTCACTTCTCTTTTACTTTTCTTTCACTTCTCTTTCACTTCTCTTTCACTTCTCTTTCACTTCTCTTTTACTTCTCTTTCACTTCTCTTTCACTTCTCTTTCACTTCTCTTTTACCTTTGTCTTACCTGGGTACGGATAGCCGCCTAGATATTTCTCTGTTTTAGCTTACCCTTTGGTAGGTATCTTTCTCTATGCCTTGTCATAATATTCGTCCTATTTTTAGGACTATACGCGTAGATCTGGCCACAGTCCTTATAGGTAATGTATAGTCTACTAGTAGAGATCTCTGCGCCCTATTCAAAGTGTGTCTAAACCTCGGATATTAAGCCCCTTTTATCCTACCGGGGATGTTCCGCTCGTGGTTTCTGCCTATATATTATTATAAGCCACTATTGGATGAATATAGCCTTATTTATATCGGTCTATAGGATATAGTTTCTCTTAGGTCCGACGCGTTTAAGGATCGGTGGGGGGCTCGGTAGTAATAGGCGCGGTAGACTAGCTTTCAGGAACCGAGGAGGGTGGGATAGAGAAGCAGCAATCAGATAGAAGAGGGTCGATACTATCACTCGTGATAGAATCAAAGTGTTCAGATAAGGATCTAGCTATAATAATGCGAAAGAACGTAAAAGTAAGGGTGAAGTAGGGAGGAAGTGAACTATGAAATAAATAGCGGGTAGGACTATACACGCGTTAATTGGTTATAACGCGTGTTAAGCGGGTCTTTTGATCTGATATTATTGGTCTAATCCTTAGGCACGGACTCACACACCTATTCTGCAGAATCAATCTCTCTAAGGCTGTGAAAGGATTAGTCTTTATCTTCACTACTCACGTAAATCAAATGTATAAGCTCTTAAACTAGGAGATAAAGTAGAGATATATATAGATAATACGTACACAAAATATCATAGCTTAATATTGACATTTGGGTGAATTAAAAATTAAAGAAGAATCTCCAACAGAAAGTGGTAGTACACTTATCTACGGGAAATATATATTTCTGCTCTACACCACTAACATAGACACAACTACCCTATTATAGACGATAATAATTAGTCTTCTTTATGCGACCGATATAAAACGTACTAGTCTAGGTATAAACGATCATATTTCATATAAATACAGTAGGGAAGGATGAAAAAAGAGGGAATGGTATGCGTTTAGACCAGAACTAAGGTAGAAAACGGTAAATAAGCTAAAAATTATGCAAAAAGTTCAGGCTGGATCAGGCCAAATCAGGCCAAATGAGGCCGAAAATCCTAAATCAGGCAGGATTAGGTGTCCATGGGTTGCCCATGGGTTAACCCAACCCAACCCATGGACGGGTCAGGTTCCGCTGCCCAAGCGTGGGCAACCCATGGGTTGGGTCATGGGTCGAACCTTCTGCCCATGGACAACCCATGTCAATGTCTAGTCCTACCTCTTAGAGAGGGTTATTCGACCGAATCATAAGATATCGCGCGGTACCTAATTATACTAAGAAGACCGCCGGAAATATCTCGCAGTTAATTCTACTACTTCAAGAAACGCTATATAAAGTTCGTTTACCAAGACGGCCACCTCTTCTATCGACAGAAGGGAAGAACAGAGATCTTACGACGTATTCTCGACAATAAGGAAGACTAACAGAATACACTATATAGCGCACACATAGATTTATCCTATAAAGGTCGAGAAGCCACTTATATATTATTAAAGCACCGATACTATTAGCCATAAATATTTAAAGACACCGCTATATTTATCAGAACTTACATTGAATACTAAGCACGAGACCTAACACAGATATACGAGCCCGCTATCACCCTAAAGAACCTAAGACTATTTAATAAGTGATTTATTAATACTACCCGTATACCAGATAAGGATAGCTTTAAATCTGTCGTCTAAGGGCGAGAGTCAGTTAGCGGCTAGGTAGAAGCGCGAGTCCTCACTAGCGCAGATTCTGAAGTAATCCAGAGTTTTATCTACGAAGATATTATCTGCCGCCATAGGTATCTAAGAGAGATTATAATAGATGATAGACCTAAAAACCGTAGTAAGACACTAAAATTCCTTAAAGACCGCGGTATTAAGAAGGTCACTATTTTAGTATATTATCCTGGCTCAAATAGCCCGGTTAAGCGTTCTATAAGAACATTAAAGGACGCACTCTCTAAGATAACTAGCGGATATCTAATAGGAGACACTTCCACCCAGATAAACCGATAGAGACCTTATTTCTATACTATATTAATAGCAGACCGAGTGACTATTAATGCTACCACCGGAATTAGCCTATACTATTTCCTGTTTGGGGTATATATAGTCTTGCCAGTTAAACTAGAGATACCTATATAGAGTATACTGCTATAGGAGACTGTCTAGGACAGACCGAGTCTTATTGCAATACGCGCACGATAGATCGAAAGACGAGAGAAGGATATTAAGGAAGCTATCCTACGAATAAACCGCCTTAAGGAGAATAATATAGGATACTTTGACGACCACTATCGCACTCGTGATACTCCCCTTTAAGAAAGATAACTATATCTTACTATATAATAGTTAAAGGTCTTTAGATATAATATCTGTTCAGAAGCTCCGCTTTCGATAGCTTAGACTATACTAAATTAAGTCTGTCAAAGGAAATAGATCCTACTCTATCAGGGAACTTAACGGCACTATCCTATACTATATCGGAGACAAGAATACGGATATAATTAACGGTAACAGACTCAAAAGATTCTACCCTCGTGGAATGGGAGATTCTAATAGGATATAGGATATTATATAGACTGGCCACCTTCGGAAGCGAAGACTAATTAGTCGACTAAGAGTAGTATAATAACTCTTTTATCCTGCTATTCAAACGATCATTCCACCGATACTGCGAGATACTTTTTCGGCCAAAAAGATCCTTCGCCTAAGGCACCAAAACACCTCACACCTTACACTTATCTATATCGCTAAGGGACGGCTCTCCTATTATAACGAGGAGGGGAAGGATACTTATTACTACTAGTTATTACCGATTAAACGCTTATTACTACGATTTTCCTTTATTTATTATAATTTTATTGCTAGTTTAAAAAGACTATATAGTAAATCCCCTATAAAGTATTAGAATATAAAATGCTAAAAGCCCTAAACTTCACTTTAAAAACCTTACTTTATAAAACCTCTCTTTCTAACCCCCTACCACACCCTCGTATACCTCCGCATACCTTCGTATACGAATTCTGATCGATATAGATAACGATAACCTCCTAAGAGATATTAAGGTACATAGATAGCCCGTTAATAGTATCGAGAATGCCTTTAGCTTCTTTAAAGTTATGAGCAGCTTTAGGCGTACGAGCTCGTATCTTAACTATTTGACAGGTTACTTATAAACTATAGTTATACGGAGCGTACTATTAATTTACTATACCAGTACGTTAATAAGGAAGAACTATAGAGAGGCTCGGAAGAGTATAAGGAGTTCCAGAGAAGGTAGTCTAAAGGCCAGAGGATACAAGCACGACGCGCCTAGAATAAGTAGTATCTTATTGCGAATAAGCTAAAAGCTATTAAAGTATAGGGAGAACAGTAAGCGAATACCTTCTTCGGTTACTTAACTACTTATTCGATAATAGAGCTAGCGAGTAGGTTTATCACTACTGGCCTTAGCTACGATCATATCCGCCTCTCTATTAATAACGAAGTTCTCTCTCGCTTATTATCGCCGGGCAGAGGTGTCCGAAACACTAAAGGAGTTATTTAAGGGGATCTTTCAAAGGCCCTCCTCCGGAAGTGTACCTTAGCCCTTAGATAAGAGGATCTTCTTTAGTGTGGACTATAATTAGACTAGGATAGGTACTGCTGCGAAGTAGGCTTCGGCCAGGATCTACCCGCTATTAAACCGGGAGGCTAAACTGCTCTTTTAGGATAATTTATTTCTATTACTGCGGTTAAGATAGAGGCTAAGGCCGATACCGATACTAAAGCGATAGATAACTGTGATCCTAAGAGTGTTATACCCGACAATATATAGGATATAGCGATATAGCTTAAAGAGTTAGATAAGGAATATACGGCCGACCTAATATCTATTAGCGACTCGTCTAGTGTGGTCTCTAATCTTTCTGTGGCCCAGTTACTTCTTAACGACTACTTATTAGAAAGTAATAAGGAATATAACCCCTTATAGGAGAGAAACGAGACTACTAAATACGGTTACACCGCCTAAAGAGCAGCTATAAATAAGACTCTGGCCCTTCCTGCGGACGCTACGAACAGATAAAAGTTAGTAGCACTTAGGCGTATTAGAAAGCTGTCCCTTCCGGAACTAGATTCGACCTTTACTAAGGATATAATCTGTCTGCCTTATGCGAAGAGAGTGTTTAAATTATTCGATATACGTAGTGCTAGTAAAGACCACGCGGCACTAACGGTACGAATTAGTTTTATTTACTGATACACTAAGGACTAAGATACTATAGTAAAGGAGAACCGGACATGATTTCTATCAGATACTAATAAGTTATAGTTAGTATTGGAATATAGACCAATGCTACATAGAAAGATCTATCCTTATATTCAACATATAAGACCAGATTGCATTGATCACGTGACCAGATTTCTCTTCTATCAAAATGATGTTTTGACCACTTCTGATTCTGGTCCGCGGCCCTCCCCCAAACGATAGGCGGGACCATTTTCCTTTAGGGGTAAAATGGTCTACCTTTAGGCATGCATAGCCTGATCCTACGGGGATGCCTTCAGGGTGGCTTAGACCGTCGATCCTTGATATCATTCTTTTCGCTTCTCTTCGGTTCCCTTCTTTGCCACCTTCATTATGTTGCTGCCTAGTGTTTATACGTCATTTGTATGTCATTCTAGACGTCATTTCTAGGCTATCCTAGCCTATAAATACGTCCTTCTTTTTCTAGCAGATAGAATCAAGTCATTTTCCACTTTCCAAAGTCATCTCTACCTTCTTCCTTTGATCCTCAGGACTGTGGTTCTGCCTTCGTTTAGGCTATATCTGCTTATAGTCTATCCTACGACCTTTGACCTTCTACCTTTGTCTGGCACCGACTGACCTAGTCAGACTAAGGTTGATCCCACGGACTTAAGGGGCCACGATCTGCTTCGTGGTAGCTTTACCCTTATATCCCAACAGTTATGAGCCCGGATCTCGCTTCCCTTTGATATCTATTGCGGTCTTCTATTGAAGACTAGTCCTTCTGCTGCGGTCTTATACCCGATAGTTATAAGACTTGTGATCCAAAGCTATCGACGACTTCTTGACTTGCGGTCTTATACCCGATAGTTATAAGACTTGTGATCCAAAGCTATCGACGACTTCTTGACTTGCGGTCTTATACCCGATAGTTATAAGACTTGTGATCTAAAGCTATCGACGACGTTCCTCCTCTTTTAGGCCTAGTCTGTGGCCTATAGACGACCTTCTTCCTCTCTCACTTCGACCACACTTCGTCTTCACTTCGCTCTCACTTTTCTCTCACTTTGCCTTTACCTTCTTGCCTATAATGTCTGATATAAGCAAGATAGGTATTACCTTGTCTGAGTCATCAGACTGGTATCTCTGGATTGGTCAAATTAAGTCTTATGCTATTGCAAAAGGCGTATGGGACTATATTGACCCCGATAATCCAATAAAGAGGGATATTCCTTCTTATCCTATTCGTCCTAGGGTTACTGATATTAACCCTAAAGCCCTTACCGATGAAGACCTAACTACCTCTGAGCGAGAAAGGTGGAGAGACAGACGAAGAGACTATGAGCTTGACCTTCGCGAATATGACCGTATTTCGGGTGCTATCTCTCAGATCTACCTTATCGTCCAATCATCGATCTCCTATTCAAGCAAGCTTATCATTCAGCACCTACCGACGGTCTATGAAGCCTTACAAACCCTTCAAAAGCGCTATGCACCAACCACTGAAGCCCGAAAGCGGTCGGTCATCAAGAAATACCATCAAATGCGCCGAATCCCGCATTCTTTGACCATAGATGCATGGATTTCGCAATGCGAGAACACCTACGTAGAGGCTGTCCAATTAGGCATTGGTGAAGTCCAATCAAAGACTAGACCACTTTTGGACTTCCTAGATGGCCTAGCCTCTATGTCTCCCTCCTTCGCCGAATACTGGCATAATGAGATCAACCGGCTTGAATCTATAGGCCAGATAGACTCTATAGACTTCTTTACCTTGACAAAGAGGTATAGGGATTCTATTAGGCTTATACCGCCTAAACGACCTTCTAATGTCCATGCAACCTTCCGTGGACAAGCAGATAAGGGCCAGGGCAAGAAGACTAAGAAGCCCTGTCCATGCCAAGGGGGCGCCTATGATGGATACCACACATTCAGTGATTGTCCTTATATCAACCCCTCTATTAGGCCAGAAGGTTGGAAACCAGACCAAACCGTCCTTGACCGCTTTAAACAAGCATGCACCCATTCAGGCTTTAAACAAGCCTACGACAATGCTATCAAAAAGCATCAAGGTCAGCAGGGCCAGTCCGACACTCATATGGGTATGGTTACCTGCCTAGCTTCTAGGCATACACGGCCTAATGTGTGGGCATATGACTCGGCCGCAGACACCCATGTCTGCAATGATCGTTCCCAATTCGTCACCTTTTCGCCCTATGAAGGAGACCTCTTAGTCGGCGACACAAAAGCCACTATAAAAGGGAAGGGCTTAGTCTATTTACGCTTCCAAAACACCACTTTTGACCTCTATGAAACCTTATATGTTCCACGCTTCCATTTGAACATCCTATCAGCAAAGAGGGCCAAGAAAGGGGGTGTTTACCATAATCAGAGGCTTAATAGGCTTGAAACAGAAGATGGGACGCCTATTTGCAAGACTTCGGATGACACAGGCATCACCCTTATTCTAGGGTATCAGAACAAGTCTATGTATGAGGATCAGACCTCCCCCGACTCCCCTTTGCTTCCACCTCAGACAGCCTTCAACACCACTATGAAGCCTATACAGCCTATACAGGAGGAATCTGACCCTGAAGACGACATCTACGAGCCTATGGCCCTAGCATCATCCTACGACTCGCCTATCCTTAAAGGCTCAGACAGCCTATGGCATCAGCGTCTAGGGCATCCTAGCCTCGATACGGTTAAGCATCTCGAAGCCTCTACCACGGGGGTGGTTATAGACCATTTTTCGGCCGAAAAACAACCTTGCGAGACATGCCTTATCTCTAAGGCTCAAAGACAGGTGTCTAGACGACCTATGCATATTGGAGACCAACCGTTCGAAACCTTGCATTGGGACCTTATTCATTTAGGCCCTGGAATCAACAATATCCTCTATGCAAGCCATGCGTATTGTCCAGTGACGAAATACCACCTATTGGTCACCATTGCACGGAAACACCTGATCCAATTATCATTGCAGCAAATGATTGATTTCGTCCTTACCCAATTCGGCATTCGCATCAAACGCATCCACCTAGACGGGGACCGCAATATCCACCAGGATAGGCTTCGAACTCAAGGAATTGAGGTCATTACCTCACCGCCCTACCAACCAGAGCAAAACCCCTTTTCAGAAAGGTCTGGTGCGGTCATTATCTCAAGGGCTAGGGCTATGATTATTCAGGCATCCTTACCTGAATATCTATGGCCTGAAGCAGTCCAAGCCGCGGTCTATGTGCTTAATCAAACCCCGAACAAACAACTAGGATGGAAGACACCCTATCAGGCCTTATTTGATAGCCTAGACCCCAAACCAGGCTATATGAAACCAAAGCCTGATTTATCGAATCTACGGGTCTATGGCTGCAAAGCCTTCGTGAGGATCAATAATATCCCTCGTCTCGCAAAGATGAAGCCTAGAGCAATGATAGGCTACCTTGTCGGCTTCAAAGCATCCAATATATGGAGAATCTGGGTGCCTAAGGCCCATAAGGTCATTAATGCAAGAGACTGTGTATTCGATGAGGCTAGCTTCTACCAACCAAATACGGCGTACGATGTGATAGACGACCAATCAAAAGAAGCTATCGAGCCTTTGTCGATACCAGAATTCAACCTAGTCATCACCAAGGCTAGTATTGATGAGCCTCTCGATGATCCATTGACGATACGGCCTTTACCGGACGAAACAGACCAATTATCCGATAACGACACCGATAAAGATAACAATGAGGATATAGACTACCAAGACCAAATCCTCGGCGACCTACCGCCTTCCCCGGAGGAATCAGAAGGAGAAGAAGAAGTAAGGCAAAACCAATGCGAAAGTGAGGATAACCTTACTCTAAACGGCACCGAAAACACACCTTATTCGGGCGATTTTAGAGTAAATGACCCTTCACTTCATCCTCACTCAGAAGTCGAAAACGCCTCACCTCCCTCTGAACCTTCTTTATTGTCCCGAATCACTATTCCGGCCGAAGACCTTACCCCGGATGCACGTGTTTCCGACCAATCACCTGACTTTATGGTCTTAATTGATAACTCTTCCTATGACGAGGAAATGTTGAATCAATATGACCACCCCAAACGGGACAGATCTCCCTCGCCTGATTCTTCAAATAAGCGGCAAGCCTTCGCTTCCTTCTATAATGCATTCTCTGCGGCAATAAAGGATCAGCCTAAGAAGGTGCATCAAGATGACCTTCCCCCTCCCCCCGGAATCATGGGAAGAAATGCTTAATCATCCTTATAAAGCTGAATTCATGCAAGCCGCAGACGTCGAATATCAGAAGCTTAAGAATATGAATGCATGGACTCCCGTGAAGCGAAAGACCATTGAGGAAGACCATAAATCATGCAAAGGGTCTATCAAGCCTCATCGATGCCCTAAGCATCAAATTCTGCCTTTAAGATGGGTATTTACCTATAAAGTGGATGAAAACGGCTATTTATCCAAATTTAAGGCTAGAATTTGTGTCCGCGAAGATCTCCAAGTTGACCGCAATGACGAAACTAGGGCTACTACCCTTGCTGCACGGACCCTTCGGACTCTTCTTGCTATTATTGCTGCATTTGACCTTGAAACCATACAATTGGATGCAGTAAATGCCTTCCTAAATAGCAAGCTAGACGACCCCGTTTATGTTGCCTTCCCCCAAGGATACGGCCGCAAACACTACGTTCTACGGCTTAACAAAGCCTTATATGGCCTAAGGGTAGCGCCTATCCTATGGCAGCAAGAAGTCCTTCAGAAACTGGCCCAGTTTGGATTCGTGCCTATTCCTGAAGACCCGTGCCTATTTGTCTATAAAAATGTCGTTTTAATGATATTTGTGGACGATATCTTGGTCATCTTCCACCGAAGGCACAAACATGAAGCCCATGAGCTTAGGGACAAGCTTATGCAAGCCTATGAAATGAAAGACCTAGGCGAGGCAACGAGGTTTATAGGCATTCGAATCACCCGCGATAGGGCCACAAAAAGGCTATGGATCTCCCAGGATGCCTATATTGAGAAAATTGCGCATCGATTCCATATAACGCCTTTGAAACCGGTTAAAACGCCATTTCCACCCTCGCCGCTCCCCGCTCCACCTTCGGACCACCAGGCTTCCCCAGCTATGATTCATCTCTATCAGCAGAAGATAGGATCATTGCTTTATGCCACAATTATGACTCGGCCTGATGCCGCAAAAGCTACCCAAATGCTTTCGGAACACCTCACGAACCCTACCAATCAGCATATGGACGCTGCAGACAAAGCCATAGCCTATTTATACTATACTAGATATAAGGCTATAGAGTATTCCCCTGTGCTAGACGGTCCCACCTTCGCATGTGCAAGCGATGCATCCTATGCAGACAATATCGGACGAAAGTCATCAGAAGGCTATGTAGCCTACTTATTCAATGGTCCGATAGACTGGATTGCACGTAAGCAGAAGACGGTGACGACATCAACGACAGAAGCCGAATTGCTTGCTATTTCATCAGCCAGTAAGCATGTGATGTGGTGGAAACGTCTCTTTAGGTCTATAGAACTAGACCTAGACCAGGAAAGGCTTAGTGTCCTTTGTGATAACAAACAGACCGTGGACCTCCTTACTAAGGTCAATTCTTTGTTCCGCACAAAGCTTAGGCATATTGATATCCACCACCATTGGTTACGACAAGAAATAGTGGCCGGAAACATCGATATTGCCTGGATTGAGACCAATTCTATGCCTGCGGACGGTCTGACCAAGCCTTTGCCTTATCATAAGCACCAGCGGTTTATCGATCATCTAAACATGACCGATATCCAAGACAGAATTGTCGAAATCTAGATCTATGAGACTATGTACGCATAGGCCTAATTCTATGCCTTATTCAGCTTATAAGTTCTGATAAGCTGAAGGGGGTGTATTGGAATATAGACCAATGCTACATAGAAAGATCTATCCTTATATTCAACATATAAGACCAGATTGCATTGATCACGTGACCAGATTTCTCTTCTATCAAAATGATGTTTTGACCACTTCTGATTCTGGTCCGCGGCCCTCCCCCGAACGATAGGCGGGACCATTTTCCTTTAGGGGTAAAATGGTCTACCTTTAGGCATGCATAGCCTGATCCTACGGGGATGCCTTCAGGGTGGCTTAGACCGTCGATCCTTGATATCATTCTTTTCGCTTCTCTTCGGTTCCCTTCTTTGCCACCTTCATTATGTTGCTGCCTAGTGTTTATACGTCATTTGTATGTCATTCTAGACGTCATTTCTAGGCTATCCTAGCCTATAAATACGTCCTTCTTTTCTAGCAGATAGAATCAAGTCATTTTCCACTTTCCAAAGTCATCTCTACCTTCTTCCTTTGATCCTCAGGACTGTGGTTCTGCCTTCGTTTAGGCTATATCTGCTTATAGTCTCATCCTACGACCTTTGACCTTCTACCTTTGTCTGGCACCGACTGACCTAGTCAGACTAAGGTTGATCCCACGGACTTAAGGGGCCACGATCTGCTTCGTGGTAGCTTTACCCTTATATCCCAACAGTTAGATTTCTATCGCTTTAAGTATTAGGCTAATCCTCCTATTATCGCCGACTATCGTAGGGTAACCTAATTATCCTTCGAAAGCCTCTACTATAGGGTATCTCCTACTCCCGACCCCACGACGCCTATACCTATTACGTTAAAGTTATAAATATAAGAGCGAGGGAGTGTGGTTATTCCGTAGTTATTTGGCTAATTAAAGGAGGACTTCGATAGGCATTACCTAGGTGGCCTTCTTACTCTTATATATAAGGAGATAGATATATATAACTACCACTATCTACCTCGTGTGGGTAAGCCTCGCCTTAGGTAGTTAAGGAATATATAGCACGGTATTATTTAATAGCTTATCCGTTAGGATCTAGCGTACTATACGTACTATGTTTTCTTCCGGCTAGACCACGCTTACTGACTAATCTCCTTCCCGTACTACGCAAAGAGTACTATACCTAAGGAACAGACTTATTTTAGGCACATTAATATAAATCTAAATAACCTAGTACAGACTAGACGAGGTAGCGCAATCCTATAGGGCAGTCTAGCATTAGATAATAAAGATAAATAGAACTATACTAAGATTCTACCTAGTATATATCGTCACATTCAGAAGTGGTGGGCTCTCGTGCGGGATAGAACGAACACTACGGATAGCTTCGTGCAGAAGATTGACAATTATCTTTGGACCCTAGAAGATACTAAGCGATATAGCACTAACTAAGTAAAGGAGATCTATATAGCTAGTGATATCCGAATCAGTTTGCCTAGTATCCCCTATAGGTCGACGGGCCCCGTAACTAAGAGGCGGAGAAGCATTTTGCTATGGTTTATACGTATCAGAGATAACCACTTAACTCTGGATACTCTAGAGTCCGGTATATAGGAAGAAGTGTCTGCGGCACACCGAGACCTTATATAAGCTCCAAGAACTCTATTAGGGCTTACGAGCAGTGTGCATAGCCGTCTGTAGTATATATTCCCTATGGCGCCACGATTCCGCGGGGAAGGTTTAATCTCTGAATACTTAGTTAGTCGTAGCCGCTAGACAGACCCTAGTATATCGGCTGAGTTAGATATCCTCTTCGGACCGGATAAAGCCGTAGCAACCGCCTATATTATCTTATAGAGGAAGAAGGCGTAGCAAATATACGCCTAATTATTCAGAGATATAATTAAGGCGGAGAAGCTAGTATTCGGGAAAGATTCCTTCTTCCACCGCAAGGTATTAGGGCTATATATTAGTCCCCCTAATCTAGAAGTTGCACCTCCGGAGGATAATAATAACAAGGAAGAGATATAATATCCGCGGCGATAGGGAATAGGTATTATAGTCTTGTCTTTCTTTGCTTTTGTTAAAGTGGCTTAGGCATTCTAAATTAACTGCGCTTAACCACGGGACGGTTAATTTTATGGGGAGGGGTAGTATATAGTGGGAGAATTGGTGACATAATAAGCCTATGTGTGGCCTTAGGCATGATTTAATATCTGCAGTGCATAGTATATCTCCAGACACACTTAGAGGGAGAGAAGTCATCTACCTAATTCATTCAGGATTCACCCAATTTCTTCTATCCATAATGCAGCATTAAGATTATCCCGCACGGCCGCAACAGGGCATCAGTACGGCCTCATCCAGCATCCTCTACACCAGACAGGCAGTGTGTGTGTGTGTTGTCCAGTCTGCATCGCCAGACAGCCATCGAGCCGTTCCCATTTCAATAGGTATTTTCCGGGAGACAGCCCTATACATAGACTGCTAAGCAGAACGAAAGGCCCTATATAGGTTGGCTCGAGATATTGAAGCCTTTTATCGCGGCTTACAAAGCCGGCGTCACCTCCGTCCGGGACTATATTACCGAGGAGAAGCTGGTATACTGGTACCGCACGATAAAAAAGGGCATTGTCTGCGATGTCACCGACACTACGCTGGAAAACGACCGCGGCAACTTCTTCCGCGGCCGGCCCTACGGATAGGAGAGTATAACGGACGAAATATTCATCGTCACACTCCTCAAATCCCCTGCCCGAGTACTAGTCCAGTCCGGTGACCAATTATAAGCTATTCAGGCTCCTGCAGGTATCAGCGCACACTCGGTGCCGATAGGCATAGGCCAGCAGAAGTTTTTTATCACCCGTGATAGACAGACGGTGCTATCGGGGACTAGCCTGAAAGACATTATGAACACCTACGCCTGCGGAATCTACAACTTCAACGCTTATGTGGGTACTCTGCCGGCGCCGTTCACTATTAGCCGGCTGCAGTCGGTTAGGTTGGCCATACTATCGCAAGGGCTGAAAGCTCTGTGCCCGACAAATACTTTGGGGATAAAAGTAGCTAACAGCGTGCTTGCAGCTAAGACCAGTCCTGCGCAGAAGGGCAAACATTGATAGGCGACAAAAGTTCAAAAAAGAACAATGAATATACTCTAGGATCGCTCGATAAAAATAAGAAATTATACATAGTAAAGTCACGAAGTGGAACTGGATGTGTTGTCTCCGCAGTTCCCTTATCTTCTAGGTCGATTCAAGAAATACTGTACCGACTCTCACGGCAGATGGATTCCGTAATTATTAACCTATAGTTATTGGTATTGAATCTCAGCCGTAATTGCGTTAAAGGGGATTTGACGAGGTGAATAGGCAGCTTTATATAAATTAAATATCGGATAGTCGGTTATTAGTCAAGCATAATTTTAGTCGACCCACTGATATAGCGATATAACCGGAGCTCCAAAAGCCGCCCTAGGAGCCTTCGCATCTTAAGAGTAGTTATTTTACTTCTGAAATGTTTGGCTAGCTCTGTGGTGACTAGTGGCTGCTAAGAGTATTTCTACGACTTTAGTGCGAGGAAGAGTTAGACTTCTTTCTATTTAGATTTTAGTTATAGTAAAGAAATAAGATTTCCAAATTCCAATAACCCTAACATAACTTTACAATCTATTTTGAAAGCTCGGTTGCCTCCTAAGAATACCATAAAATAAGATTTTGGATCGTCTGCCGACCTTCGCAGCTAACCGTCCTTTGAGCAATAGTCTTAATTAGGATTTTAACTCCCATCCCTAAGATCTAGTTTTTTGTTAAGACTGTTGCAAAATAATGAGCTAAGCAGCTTACTATATTTATCTTATTCGGGTCCTCGAGAACCAACGTCTCTGGCCTATAGCTTCCAGATAAATCACTAGATATATACGATAATTAGTCTGTATCAGAAATAACAAAAGCACGGTCCTCGCTTATTTCCGAGGGCGTTTCCTCTAATACTATATCTAAATCTGTATAATCGGAGGAATTATTACCTTCTGGGTCATAAGTAGAGGACTCCGTCTAGCTGCAGGACTCTTTGATCCGCTTAAGTATGCTATCTATTTCCCCAAAGATATTTGGAGGTATTTAGACAGACTGCAAACTCTAGCAAAGAATATATAAGTAAGACTTTCTCAAGCTTTGCCAAAATCCCTCGCAGGCCGGGAGAGAAAAGGAAGATTCAGTATACCAAGCAATTAACAAATAACTATTAATAGAGTGCCAGCCGTACTAATGAACTGCATTCGTCTAGAGATAGGGATCCTTAAAGGAATTTGTAGCCAATGCGGTCCCAGTACAAAGAATATAAGTCTAGGCTTAACTGAGAGGACAAAGGAGACCTAAGAAATAAATACGCTTCAAAACCCGTAAGCTTATCGGGGGTTATTTATTTTCGGCTATATGTCACCACAGTTAAAAGGAACCTTTTTCTTCGACTTTTCATAGCCTATACATAACTATTGAACGCTCTAAAGATGCCCCACAAAGCTGAGGCTCTACGCAAGAATCGGCCCCCTTAAGGATATCCCTAGTCCTGGCTTTAACTATCGCCTCTAATAAGTAGTGGACTAAGTATAGCAAGGCATACAAAGAAAAAGGGAGCAAACATAAGCTCAAACGTTTAAACGAACGGAGAGCCCTATCGACCTAGGATATTATTCCCGCGGTTAGGTAGACCTCAAATAAAGTAAGTTTAAATGGCGGCTCAAATTCTGAAGGAGACCCGCAGATAATGACTGGTCACGTAGAGACATAGCACTAGGACGAATGAAATGGGGCCGTATAAGAAAAGTATATCTTTATTTTCGAAGATCTATACATAAAGTAGTCCTTTACACCCCTTCTACTTTTTCTTCACGGACATTCAGGATTCGATCGTCGACCACCATACGCCAGAAATACTCTCTATTCCTAATAATTCTCTGGCTAAGAAGTATAGCCTTTGCTTCTAGCTTAACTTATATATCTTCAGGGAATAATGCTATTTTCCCCGCCGCTCGGGGTTATATAACCGGATATCGCTCGGTCGCATATTTTATTAATTAGGTTAGTACATATCCCATCGACGTGGCCATTCTACCGCAGACAGCTAACAGAAATCTAAATAACGGGCTATCTACGGCCGAAAATTTAATCCCTAAGATCTTCCAGCCGAGCAGCTCACACATATTCTGTATACATTTACTAACGTACATACGGAGACAGGAGAAGTATACTTATCAGACTTATAGGCTAATCTTAAAAAACACTACCCTAGCGATTCTTAGGATAAGAATGGAAACAACACTTATAGATATATAAAATAGCTATTCCTACTTAAGCAGAGAAATCGTAATTTAAAGGTGCTGCTTTCTATTGGCGGCTAGACTTATTCTAAGAATTTTGGGGCTTCGCTCGGTACTGCTACTGGCAGAGCAGCTTTTGTTTCTTCCGCCGTGAATCTTATCAAAAACCTGGGATTTAATAGCCTCGATATTAATTAGGAAGTAAGTTCACCGAAGGTTTAGGAATAAGTGAAACTTTAACTGGAATAATTATAGTATCCTGCCAATAATAGTCAGGCTCAGGACATAGTGACTATACTCAAAGAACTGCGCTTAGTAGGCCTTACCTAATCTTAGAATACTCCGTTATAGCTCACTCGCCCTAGGCTCTTAATAATTATAGTGCCACCTATGCCAACGATTATTATTTCTTAATAACAGTTATATGCCTAGCTAGTCAGTCCAACTATATTTTGCGGTTCCTAATATTAACCTAGACTCCAGGTCCAAGCCACTACCAGAAGCTCTATATCACTGAAATAGACTAATACACTAATTTCTAGAACCTAATGGCCTACGATTATTCTGGAAGCTAGGATAACGTCGCCAGACACGATACCAATATCTATCTATCCATTAAAAATTGCCCCAGTACCCCTTTTAATACAGACGAGGCAATTTACTACTACACAACCAGCGGTATAGATGCCAAGAAAATCGTGCTAGGGATGCCACTATACGGTAGGTCCTTTTTAGACACTGACGGTCCAGGCAAGAGTTATAATAGGGTAGGAAGCGGTAGCTAGGAAAACGGCGTATAGGGATTATAAAGCTCTGCCTCTAAAAGGTTCCAACGTCAACTACATAGAGCAAATAATCTCTAGCTACAGCTATAATCCTACCTAGCGCACGATAATTAGCTTCGACACGCCCTAAGTAGCTCAGAACAAGGCAGAGTATATTATGACAAAGGGCCTCGGCGGGGAATGTGGTGGGAGAGTAGCAGCGACAAACCAGGCCCCAATAGCTTAATCACTACCGTATATACTATATTAGCTCACTAAGCCCTTACTGGTACTAACTAGGCGAATATAAGTCGTTATATCGTTTGGAGGTATCAGTGCCTTAGAAAAAAGCCAGAACCAGCTTAAATATAACGCTTCCGAGTACCTAAACATCAAGAATAGACTTAAATAGCTGAATGGCCCCTACTTTTCCTTTTAGCTTTTTCCCACAAAATCGGATTCACAGCCTAAAAAATAGAAATTATAATTTATGGCGTCTTACTAGCTATCCCTATATTATATCATTTTATATTCAACTATCAGCTTAAAACAGATTTTCTGCATATAATAGACGAATCAAGCTAAGTTTTGAGCCGAGTAAACCCCGATTTCCACGATTTCTCCGCCCTATTAAGGTGTCAGTAAATATAACACAGCACGCGATAGGGTAGGAAAGCTAACATTATGTGATATCACAAGCTTATTATCCAAAAAGTTCCACTCGATCTAGGTATGCAAACTAGATGGTAAACAATCTCTATACTATATGGCTTGCCAGCTATCCCTCTCTTTAATCTGGATACCAACTAAACAGTCTTTAATAGATGCTACTTTCAAGCCCTTCAAGGACTTTACGTGAACAGATTTCCATACCCTATCCTTATGACCAATTAAGAAACCATTAATTATAATACCACGAAGACGCTGTACGTCTCGACTTTCGTCGAAAATAAACGCAGTGTAGGAGTCTTCTGGGACCTTTATGGCATATCGGTGGCTATCGTAAAGGTCTCCATGGCTAACATAACGTATAACAGGAGTATATTTTGGCAGTTCTTACTAGTATATACAGTTCTCTATCACTTTCCGCACTAAGTCTATATTATCCCAAATAACTCTATAACTAATAGTCTTCGGGTACCTATCCTGCGGTATTCGTTAGACATTTTGGATAAGCGTTATAATATTTGCCCGAGGATCCAAGTTATCCACAAGCATATATTTATAACCCAGCTCTTTCCACTGCTCCAAACATAGCTCGACGTACAAAACTGTACTGAGATGATAACGTCCTCGTCGTTTGTGAGAAAGCGATAAACTATTTAGATAAGTTCCGGGGGCAAACATATGTGGCCCCGGGCTCGAAGTCCTTTGTTAGGGTTTGCTAGTTTTAAAATCGCAAAAATATCGGGGTCGAGAGTATATGGCTCGTTTCGGAATAGAGGCACCTCCAGGAAGTCGCGAAGGAAAAACAGGTGGTCCTTAAATCGATCGATCCAAGTTTGATTAAAATAATCTTTCTTAAAGACACGCCGGGCTATTTTCCAGCAGTAGTCATACGCCGTCACTTCTTGCGAGCGCTGCTCTTCAGTAAAACGCAGGATAGAGGTATAGTGGCGACGAATCAACTTTCCAGTTCCAACTCTATTCTTATGCTGCTCTTCAAGAAGAAAGTGATATGACTGAATATAATCCGTGGCGTATCTGCATAACGGACATGAGATCGTTGGCTCGGCAGCATCGTCTATAGGTGCGTCCATTGGTTCGTTCATATGCTCCTCGTCCATTGGTAGAGTATTATAGAGGAGACCAGTTCATGGAAAGGATAAGACTACACCTCGTCTTCAAAATTCGGTAAGTGGTAAGTAGCTGGCTAAGCCAGGGCGATAGGAGAACACGATTTTTGGCCCCACGTAGGTGTGTAGGATTATATGATTGGGGCCAAACTCAATTTAACCTGATTTTGATTAAAACAAATTTTTTCTGGGCAAATGAATGCAAGAAGGCACCTAGGAGTTGATAAGACATGAATACTGCAGCTCGAATCAACGTGATATCTTGAAATATGGTGGCGAATGGTCAGCGCCCCTGAAAATGCCCCGTCGGTAGAGGTAAAGTGGGAGGAAATTTTACTAGTTAGTTTTAGTTAACGTAATCCACAAGCTATCCGCCACCACAAGCAACCCTAACCACTATAGTAAATGCAACGAATTACAACTTCAGATCTCAACAACCATTGATTATTTGAACTTCGTTTTTTCTTGTAGCTATGCTTTTGTACTTATAGTATGTTTTATGAACCTCATAGGAATTAACTAATTACTACACCGCCTTAACCAGAATAGATTACTACAGTATGGATCGAAATAAGTTTCCCCAGCTTTGTTTACTCTGTTTATTAAAAGTCTTAGTTTATTTGGTTTAGCCTTAGAGAAATCATCCAAATAGGATAGAGCCAAGGCTAAGCATAGCTGGTCTAGCTTGCCGTTATAAGGAGTTCTTACTAGAATACAAGAAAAGGAATATATGAAACTGATCTCGATCTTTGCTGTAAGATGAAATTGTCAACTCACCATAGTATCTTATGCCAATAGATCCTATCTAAGGTGAGCCGTTGTTTGCCGGCAATTGCTCCATAATTGGTGGATCCGGAGTTGCCTTGAAAGCCTCTGGTCGTAATACTTTGTGTAGGTACTAATAAATAATTGCCTCCAACCCTATTTGTGATAACTGGCTTAAAGAGGTAAGATACTCCTTATCTTCTGATTCTCGAAGTTGACTGGCCTAAACGAGAATGTCTAGAGCGGGCCCGCCAACATCGATTTTAGCTTCTATATAACCTAGCTCTTGGAGAAAAACACCAAAGCTATTTTTAAAGCTAAATCCCGGTCCAGATATATCTTTCGCTTTCTGGATCGACATACTTAAAGTATGCGGAGGCTATGGAGAAAGGTTATCTATTTAAGGCATTAGTGGCAAAAACAATATTTCTAGATTCATCGCAGGTGGTGAACTGCTATTTTCAGGTATTTCATGTGTGCTGTTCCGGATTAGAACTTTGAGCTTATCTCTCTAGGACGCTATTGTCACTTACTGCTGGCGCTGATGCCTTATAAGGGAAGAGGCTCGCTTATACTTCCTCGTACATCCTTTATGTGCGTAGGTGTAGTCAGTCTTTATAGTATAAGTTAACTTATGCTATCGACGGTGCTTAGCCCTCGTGAAAACCTATAGGTCGATAAGTCTAGGCCCAGCACTTAACGGCTCCAGACCTACCTTGTCGCAGCCGGAATGCTCGTATCTATACGCCCGTTAACCCTTCGGGGGGTTTTTGGCTTGCTTACTTTGGATAGAGTCCTGTGGTGAGTGGTATATATTCGTGTAGGACTCTTTTAGGCTGCTGTCCATTTAGGGCCGAAAATCCATTTAGGGTACTAGAGTCTAAACTTAGTATACGTGATATGGAGGTTAGAGGGCAGGAGATCCTTTTTGACTCCGGAGCGAGACCTATAATCACTCTATTTAGATTATTATTCTTATAAAATAGCTAGACTACAAGCCAGGGAATTAGATGGGAAGTGGTAAGCAGAGAGTGGCTATCAACGTTTAGTTAAATATAGATCTCTATATAAGTATACGGGTACAAAGGAGTAAATAGTGGATGCGCCGAAGTATGTTTAATCCCCGGCAGCCAACAGCTCAGGGAGGAAAGTGACTATTTAGCCAATAATAGATCACCCAGAGCGTACTTATCTTAAGGGCCGTATATAAGCTAAAAAAGCAGAGGGAATATAGTAACTAGCTAGTACAGTATTCCACCGAAAGATTCGGGATTCCACTCTAATTGCGGGGTCCATTAGAGTATTTTAGGGCCAGATTGTTATAATCTACAAAGTCACCGAATCAACATATCAGCCAATATTGCTAGATATACTCTTTAGCTATGAGTTAAGGGGTTCAACGTTGCTCTTAGGGAGTTATAGAACCTACCGCGCTTAACACTCTAACGTCGTGTCTCTTCCCTTGCCTTCATATTACTCTAAAAAACTCTCTACCTTGCCAAAGTCGATAATAATAAAAAGAAAGCCTAATATATATGCGCAATTATTAGGAAAGAGCATTTTTGAATAAAGTAGCTATTCTGTTTTGCAGTAACTGGTTTTTCGTTCTTTTTATTTATCGCCTGAGGTTGGTCAAATAAGTTATAAGGTTATAGTCTCGATAGGTAAAATATATATATTCGATGAAGGTAGTTCAACGGTGTGATAAAGGGTGTGGTAAAAGGTGATTCAACAGAGAAGTGATTAAATAGAGTATTATCAGAGCGTGCAGTTTGAAAAAGTCGGGATAAAAAGAATGCGACGACTGTTTTGATTTTATGCAAGAGAGGGCAACGGAGTACTCAGTTTTATAAACAGTTTAGAGAAACGCCCTTTTCTGACACGTTAGGCAGTTGTCTTAGGGGTCGTAAGCGGCCTAAGCTCCTAGGGCCCTCGTCGACTATAAGCAAATAAGAAAATAGTTGTTAGCCCATGAAGGGATACAGTCGTTCTCGAAATTGGCTTGACCAGTACACACTCAATCATTCTGTCCTAGCCCCACAGCCAAGAGCTTAGCGCTAATTATTCATTAAGGGGTCTAGGTTAGATCGAGGAGCCACTATATATAGTACAGTATCTTCCTACTGTACGGATATTTACACAGTGCGTAGATACCTTAATAGAATTCCATAGAAGCCGATAGTGGGCCCCTATATATTATCCGAAGAGGGTCCCAGGGTTTTAGGGTCCGCCCTGCACCCACCACCTAGACGATCCGCTAGGTGATCTCGACTTTCCTTCTCTTCCTATATAGTATATACCCGCCGTCACTACTGAAAGGTGTTCCTTTAGTCTAGGGAATATCTTAACGGATGTAATTATCGGTGAACAATCTCTCGACCAGGTTCTTATTATTTATAGGCGAACAACACTCTCACGGGCAGCCGATGGCGTAGGCCTTAACTAATAACCACTTACCAAAAATCTGTCCTTACAGTAGGCCTAGAATTATGCGGCCTAATTCTCTTATTAGCTATAATAATAGCGTTCAAAAAGGTGAAACGTTTATAATATGCACGAATAACTGGCAACTTCTATCGTTCGCCTACCTTCTATCCGACATAAGCTATACTAATATCGAGCTAACCTCCCCTATTAGCTATACCTCTCCGCAACATAGCTACGCCAAAGAATAGGCTTCCCTTACTCTAATTTGGTGACTGGGAAGAAGGTCGGTCGTATGATAAAGACCCTCTGGTCTGTATATACTACTTAATTAAGTGGAAGGTCACTCTCAATAATAAAATAGCGGCGAAAGATACAGAACAAGATCTAGTTCTAGCCCCTCAGTTTAACTGGCGACTCTTTCTGTAGCCGAAGCTAAAGGAGTTACTTATTCGAAAGTACGCACACCGAAAACTCAAATCGGATAATACTTCTATTATTGTATTAGCCACACGAGAAAGAGGCCTCTCTGAGGCTTAAAGGGACAGATATTAATTAGTCCTCGATAGAGAAACAACTGTTCGGTTAGAGAGATTATTTTCTTGCTAGCAAGAAATTAAGGCTCATTATCTCATTTAACTATATAGAGAACCCCTAGGGTTTATCTGTCAGTCGCAGAACTAATAACAAACAAGGGGCTTTATCTGCGACTTAGCGCATACTTTAATTACTTTAAGGGTGAGACCAACAACTCTGTACCGAGGAAGAAGTAAATGGAGAGCCACCCGCCTGGAAAGCGGTATACGCTTTAATGTGCTGCCCTGGATCTTGTGACATAGGCCCGCACAGCTAGCAGGATCTATACTAGAAAAAGCACTATAAGCTATATCGAGATCAATTGGAGAGTTTAGTTAAATATATACAAAGTGGTGGAATTCTGCAGTCGCATAGAGATATGCCTGGCATGATTCGTGAACAAATCTACAGATCAGAGAGGCAACGGCTTAAACGAACGAGGCCTCTAAGTCGTACTACGTCCGAGTTGCCCTCCCCCTATCACTATCACAAATTTTCTTCCAGCACAAACCCCACAGATAGCCGGGTCTTCTACGTCCTCGTTTCTAGACAATAACGCTATATCCTCGACGGAACTCTCTGACCTTTATATCTCCGGCCTTCTCGATATTGCCGTGAGGGAATACAGTACTGGCAGCAATCGCGTTTAAGCGAAGATATACTGTATTGCAAACCGAGGTGAGAAAGGCGTGCGAGGTAGCCTTAGATGATAGGCTAGATTTGGTACAGATTAATGAAGACAAAATTTCAGATTACTTTACGAAGCGTGGGGTCAAGTGGGGTATTGCCCGGCGTTTCGTTAAGGATATTAGGCTCTGGGCCGAGAATGTAATGGTTATGTGAGTGAAGGAAAGCTTTTTATATAAATATTTATTAAATAGTACTTATTCTTCATTCATCTAGATGGTTTGATATTAGACTTCATCGATTATCAGACCAGCATTTCCGAAATGACCTTCCGCGCTCGCCACCCTTGCTCCTACAGTAGAATTCGAAAATAGATTACCCCTAGGACACTAACGCTCTCTTTCCTAGCGCCCCACTACGATCGCGCTAAACTGAATTCGGTTAGGGAAAGTCCCCATCATTTTTTCTTAATATATTTCTGGTAGATCAACTAAATTACCGTAATTACTGGTTCCGGCATAGGGCAAACCATACTTGCCGAAATGGCCCGTGGCCAAACACTAGAATTCGGAAACAGTTTTCCCCCCGGACACTGACGCTTTGTTTCTCGGGCCGTACCCGCAAAGACGTTGGGCCATATACGGTTACCATTCAAAACAGCCCCTGCTTAGCAGTACAGTGGCACCGCAAAAGTATTTGACCACCCCTTCACACCGCTTTTATGGATTCATTCCACCGCCTACTATAATAGGCCTTCCAAAACCTACTAGACTAGCGTGTTCTAGCAACGCGTGCCGCGTATGAAGCTATTATTATTATTTCTACCTATACCTCCGCGCATATGCCTCCTATCCGCATCACCCCGACGCCGTGGAGGGCACCAGTTGCCGCTCCACGCAGGCCTAAATGCGAGCTTGACGTATGGACGCGTACAAAAATCGTTGAACTGAAAACGGTTGCGCTATGGTCTTATAAGCAAATCCATAGGGAATACCCTTCTATTCCTTTATCGACGATCAAATATACGGTCAAAAAGGCCAACGAGCGCAATATAAATATTTCTTTACCTCGTTCTGGCCGCCCAAAAGTGCTAGATGAGGCTGATCGACAGAAGATTATCGATAAAGTCCACGCCGAACCGCGCGTTTAATACGCAGACCTTCTTGCAGAAGTTAGTAATAAATGCAAGAAAGACTCTATCGCTCGCTTACTATCTATTGAAGGTCTAAAGAAGTGGCGAGTGATGAAACGGCCTTATTTAAAGGATGAACACGCCGCAAAACGACTCTCGTGGGCGCGGCGATACGAACACTATATAAAAGAGGATTAGGATCGCGTTTTTTGGTCTGATGAGTGTTCTATCGAACGTGGGCAAGGTCTTCGACCTGAATATACCTTTATTCGTCCTTGCAATCAAGCCGAACTAGGCGATATAATGCCTACGCCTACGAAAGGGAAGCAGATTAAGCAGATGTTTTGGGCTTCATTTTCTGGTGCGCACCGACGGACTGGCCTTATTCCATTAATCACCGCCGGTATATCGCAGTCTATACGAGGGGGGGGTAGACCGGTTTGTGATCGAGGATATTTATCGGAGAATCCTACCTACTTTATTATCGTCGACACCGAATGCGATATTTCAGCAAGATAATACACCTTCGCATACTGCCAATATCGTACGCGAGGCTTTAATCGAGCTAGGAATTAAGGTAATGGACTGGCCACCGATTTCGCCTGATCTTAATCCTATCGAGAACCTCTGGACGCTTCTAAAGCAGAAGATATATCAGATTCGGCCCGATCTATTGCATATGCGGAATAATAACGAAACGCTTGATATCCTGATCGATACGGCACAAGATGCGTGGGATGCGCTTGATCTAGGGATGCTTGAGCATCTATCAGAGACTATGCCGCATCGGGTGCAGGCAATTATAAAGTCAAATGGCTGGTATACTAAATATTAGTGGTGTGGTGCTTGAATTTATGGAGTTTTATGGCAGGCAGAAAATATGGCAGAAAATAAGGCGGTCTATAGGTGGTCAAATACTTTTGCGGTGCCACTGTATCAGTGGTATAAATCGTATTCGGCTGTAATATCCTATGAGTCATTGTAAATTACCGTTCTATCCCATGGAAATTTCTAGGGGAGGGATCTAGAAGGGGTGCGCCCGGAAAAAGAAGGGAGAGGGTGGGGGGTCTGTCAATCTGGCTTGATCGACGCCATCTCTTTCTTCCTCTTCTTCGTACAAAGTGTTCGTCTTCATCTACCTCTTATATGACGAAAGCTATACTACTACTGTATTACTGCTGTAGAAGACTAACCCCGGTAGGCTAATATAGTTCTCGTTCACGCTTTCCATGGCTCTTGCTCCCTCTCTCGTCCCTGTCATTCGTTATTGGGCGTCTACCCACAACTAGTATCGCCCATTTATGCTAACAGACCTCTAAGGCCTTAATCGTGTGTAGATATAAATGATAGCCGATACCACGATAATGAAATCTCTCAGCCCTAAGAGTTCGAACAATGGGAGCAGGAATCGCAATATTCCCCTCCTACCCGGGATACTTTCGAAGCCCTTATGCTACACAGTCTGACTGTAGTCCGTCGCTGTCTGTCTCTCGCCGATCTCAACTGAACACTATACCTCTGCTCCAGGAATCCGAATGGGATGCGAATAAGATCTACGATAAGGATCCGCCAAGCTATATCCACTACTGCATCGAATGGCGTGTCGCCCTTAACAACAAGGCTGTGGTAAGGGACACAGAAGGGGACCTAGTACTGGGCCCAAACGCCTACTAGCGGTTATTCCTAGAAAAGAAGCTACAAACTGTCCTTCGAGAGAAAATCACCCGCACGGTCGATAACACGGCGATTGTTATGGCAGTCAATGATCGTTCCTAGCGTAATCTGACCAAGCGCTTTAACAAGACCGAAATTGTTTAGGCTTCTATCGAGAAACAGTTACGGATATAGTCGAGTCATTTCTGTCGTAGAAAGAGACTCACGCTGAGGGTCTGTTTTAATTACGTAGAGGATTGCACTTTTTCCTCTACTAGACGGAAAGGGGAGAAGGGAGGTAGATCTTCCGTCACCAAAAGAATGCCTAATAATCGAAATGCCTAGCTCGATACTGAAGAAAATATATGCGGCCAGCAATCAATTTAGCGCCGAGTTTATGACTTAATAAAATGTGATTCGGCTGTATACCACTTAGGCCTATATTGCTAGCCGGATCTAATAGGAAAAAAGCACTATCGACTCCGAACGTAAACTCTCCGACGTTTAGTCACTTACGTTAAGAAAGGTAGTGTGCTAGAGAACCATAAAGACGTTCTAGATGAAATCCGGGATAAGCTCTATATAGAGGAGTAGCAGAGGTAGGAGAAAGAAAAGCGCAAAGGCGGTAACATTCTTAGGGATGGATCGCCCCACCCACCCATTAATATTAATATTCACCTATCCCGTCCCACTAAATTAGCTATAATAACTTCGGATAATGCCTCCGGCTAAGGGCTATAGGTCTATTAAAGATTCCGGGGTTCAAAGATATAGCTATCAAAGAATACGGTAAGTGGCTTATATCGAGTGTAACCGATAATTCCCTCAAAGCTAGATTTTGACAAGCATACTATATAACGCTATCAGATAGCTTTAAACTTAAATATATCTACAAGGATCAAAACCCATAATTTTTCGTTGGCAAGGGGATTAAGCCCGGAATTGCCCGGAATTTTATGGAGAATATTCGTGACTAGGTTAAGAACGTAAAGAAAGAGATACCCGTTATTAAAATGGTATAGATAAGCGTATTAGCGTTAGATATTGGCGTTTTTGGTTATAAGTTAGATGCATTTGCTGTACTAGATGACGCAGCTTTTCTTAATAGTAGACGAGTGATCTTTTTGCTTTAATTTAATTATTATTCTTGAGCGTTTCCCAGTATATTAAGTGCGTCCTCTGCATTCAGGCGACTGGACGGTAGGGACCGTATTAATCCTTAAGTCACATAAAGTAAAGGTTCAAGTGTTAAATTAGGCACCAACCCAGCAAACTTACGTTTAAGCTTCGACGTTCCGTAATCTTTGAGCAGAATTAGTAACAGATTTATTAAGCTAGGAGGGTGCAAATCGAGGTGCCATAATATCCATTATCGCGCTGTTAACCAAAGAAGTTAAGGTGGCCAGAGGCGCGGGCAATAGGATAGGTCTGGGTCGGTTAGGGCCGACCGTTAAGCCGATAACCTACCCCCTCTATATGGCGTTAGGAAAGCCCAACCTTAGTTAACTATATAGCTCGAAACGTCAGACCCTAAGGAAACTAGCCGCACTAACTAGAAGCTTAAGTGGCCCAAGATAAAAGTCCCGAATATATCCCAGAGCTTACTATAAGCTATTATAGCTTCATTCGGGTAATTAGCGCTAGATTTATTAATATTAGCACTAATAGAAACGCGTTCTTATATAGCCCCACTCGTTTTGGTGTCTGCCCCTCTGTCCCCTTAAGCTGAAGCACTTCCTTTTCCCCCCAAAATACTTCCGGTCCTCCCGTCTATCTCACGATAAATCGAACTAGATCTAGCCAGAAACTCTTCCAAGAATTCTCGAAGCATAACCGACAACGTGAGGACAGTGGCTCCTCTCTAATCTAATAACTGGACCTTAGCAACGAGACCCAGATTTAATAGACTCCTACACGGTAGTATAGATCTATGCCCTAGAAGAGGAGTATTTTTGTGCATACCGTATGCTTAACGAAGAATTCGACGGGCCGGAGATAAGCGAAGATAACGATAATAACACATACGTCTACGGTCGTATTGCGAAGCATTATATAGTGATCGGTTATCTTCTAGCCGGTCGGTATAGCACTAATTTAGCCGCCCGCGTTGCCCGAGATATGGTCCGGACCTTTCCACGACTGCGGTTCGCCTTAATGGTAGGCATCGGAGGCGGCGCACTAACTACCCGAAATAATATCCGATTAGGGGATATTGTCGTGAGTCAACCAAAAAATAGATTTAGCGGTGTCATATAATATAATCAGGGCAAGTTGAAAGATAGCCACTTTCATAGGACAGATCAACTTAACGCGCCGCCTAAGAAGCTTCTAGGGGTTATTCCTGAGATGCGCAGACTGCACAGTAATAAAAGGAAACCAGACAGACTCGGCGAATATCTTCAACGTCTCGATGATATAGAAGATTATCACTAACCAATTATTGACCGGCTTTATGCTACTAACTATCCACATATGGACGGACAAAATTGCGACGAATGCGATTCACACTCAGTAGTGGTCCGCCCAGAGCGCCGCAACTATCGTACTCTCCATATTTACTATGGAAATATTGCATTAGGAAATTCTGTACTTAAGGACGCCATTGTGCGGGACACGTATACGAACGACCCAGAGCTGAATATCCTATGCTTTAAAATGGAGGCTGCAGGTCTCATAAACAATATTCTATGTTTAGTTATTCGCGGAATCTGTGATTATTGCGACTCCCACAAGAATGACGACTAGCATAAATATGCCGCACTCGCTGCTACTGCGTATGCACGAGAGCTACTCCTAGTTTTACGACCGTAACGTGTGGATACCTTGCCTCCCTAGGCCGAGCGAGTTGCTCAAGAACTTTAATAAGGTTAGAACCCTATATTCTGATTTTGTAAATTCATATAGTTTTGTCGTGACTCAAAATTATAATAAGTATATACTGTAGTGCAGTATATTTTTCGGTTCATACTATTGTTTATTCGGGATAGTGTGCTAACAACCTCTAGTTAGTCAGGAGTTAACTAGTCTCAACAACACCCAAAAGTAGCATATAATTCGGTTAATTATGGTTAAATACACTGTCGCTAACTTTAAATAGAACTGTTCTGACGACGGTTGAATATTTAGACCAAAAGATTGACCTTAGGAAGTTAGAAGGTGCGATAGAAGCAGGGTTTGAGTCATTTAACGATCGAGACGAAGTCCAATATCTCTAAGGCACAAGGATCGAGCTCCTCTAGCAGATAATGGAATGGGCTGTGTCGCCGTCCCAAAAAAGTATTTTCTGGTTAAAGGGGATAGCCGGGACTAGAAAATCCACAATATCTCGGACTATGGCGAGGTCGCTCAAGGACACTAACCATCTAGGTGCAAGCTTCTTCTTTAAGAGGGGCGAAGGGGACCGAGGGAACGCGAAGAAGTTTTTCCCGATATTAATAAGGCAACTAATACTTAAGATCTCTGAGCTAAGGTCTGATATACAAAAGGCACTCGATCATAACCCTAATATTGCATCAAAATCGCTCAGGGAGCAGTTTAAGAAACTACTCCTTTAACCGCTACTCAATCTTAACTAACTCGGCCGATAACCTTAATCCGCTGTGATAGTAATCGACGCTTTAGACGAATATAAACATAATCAAGATATACGAAACATAATTCGATTATTATCTCTTCTACAGAAGGCAAAAGCAGTTCGTCTTCGGATCTTCTTAACTAGCAGGCCTAAACTCCTAATCAGACTAGGGTTTTCAGATCTCAGGGATTATGAGTATCAGGACATAGCTCTTTATAATATACCCAAATAAGTGACAGAACACGACATATATTTATTCCTGTAGGACCGATTTACGAAGATCAAATATGACAGAAACATTTCCCCCGACTGGCCGGGCGATAACGTTATCTAACGATTAGTCAGGATATCCGCTCCACTGTTTATTTCGGCTGCCACTATATGCCGTTATATCGAACATTCAAAATAGGAACCTAAATTACGCCTCGCAGAGCTGCTCACAGACTAAGCCAAATATATATCGAAATTAGATAAGATATACCTCCTAATTCTGACGCGACTACTAGACGATTAAGAGAGTGATGAGTCAGAGCAGCAACAGCTCTTATAAGAGTTCTAAGTCATAGTCGGTATAATCATCCTTCTTACCGTTCCACTTTCGATACACGCGGTCTCGTTCTTTCTTAGAATTAAAGCAGACCAGATCAGCAATCGGTTAGATTCATTCCGGTCTATTCTAAGCGTTCCTAGTAATCGAGATCTGCCTGTTCGGATTCTATATCTTTCGTTCCGAGATTTTTTGGTCCAATCCAAAAGCAAATTTCTTATAGATAAGCCAAAAAAGTATAAGGAAATTACGTTATTATGTCTTAAAAACATAAGAAGCCATTTACGGAAAAATCTTTGCAATCTAGAAGGCCTTAGAACCTATAGGGCCGATATCGAACCTCAATCCTTACGCCAGCACTTACCACCAGAACTACAATACTTATGTCGCTACTGGGCACACCACCTCAAATAAAGCCCTAGCTTATCCTCTGAGGTGGAGTTTATGTTACAGTTTCTCTAGGAGTATTTTCTGCACTAGGTTAAAGCAATAAGCCTACTAGGTCTTATATCGGAAGTGGTAGGGATACTTAATCTCCTCCAGAAGATTATATCAGTATGTCCCGCAGGCAGCCCGATAAAATTTACACTAACAGAATAAGGGCGATCACCATTCCGCAATATCTGAGTTTTTGCATGACGCAAAGCGATTTATTTTGAAGAACCTCCAGATAGCCAATGATGCGCCGCTTTAACTTTACTGCTCAGGACTTATATTTGCACCCCGCAAAGCGATAGTCCGTAGACAGTTTTAATCAGAATTTCCTAATTGGATATATTAGTTACCATAGGTTAAGGAAACCTGGAGCCCAGAACTGCAGACTCTCGAGGGCTATTCAGATTTGATTTAGTTGGTGGTCTTCTCGCCTGACGGCGCGCTACTGGCGTCCGGCTCTCGTGATAATACCGTGCGCCTCTGGGACACGGTAACAGGCGCGCCGTAGCAGACTCTTAAGGGCCATTTAGCTTAGGTTTAGTCGGTAGCCTTCTCGCCTAACGGCGCGCTACTAGCGTCCGGCTCTCGTGATAACACTGTGCGCCTCTGGGACATAGCAATAGGCGCGCTACAGCAGACTCTTAAGGGCTATTCAGATTCGGTTCACTTAGTAGCCTTCTCGCCTGATAGCGCGCTACTGGCGTCCGGCTATAATAATAGCACTGTGCGTCTCTGGGACATAGCAATAGGCGCGCTATAGCAGACTCTTAAGGGCCATTTAGCTTCAGTTTAGTCAGTAGCCTTCTCGCCCGAAGGCGCGCTACTAGTATCTGGCTCTAATAACAGCACTATGCGTCTCTGGGACATAGCGACAGGCGCGCTATAGCAGACTCTCAAAGGCTATTTAGCTTAGGTTTGGTCAGTAGCCTTCTCCCCTAATAGCGCGCTACTAGCGTCTGGCTCTAATAATAGCACCGTGCGCCTCTGGGACACAGCGACAGGCGCGCTATAGCAGACTCTTAAGGGCTATTTAGCTTAGGTTCACCTAGTAGCCTTCTCGCCCGACAGCGCGCTGCTAGCGTCTAGCTCTGACGATAGCACCGTGCGCCTCTGGGACACGGCAATAGGCGCGCTGCAGCAGACTCTCGAGGGCCATATAGATTTAGTTTAGTTAGTAGCCTTCTCGCCCGACGGTGCGCTACTAGCGTCCGGCTCTGATAATAGCACTATACGCCTCTGGGACACGGTAATAGGCGCGCTGCAGCAGACTCTTAAGGGCCATTTAGCTTCTATTTAGTCGGTAGCCTTCTCGCCTAATGGCGCACTGCTAGCGTCCTACTTTAATAATAATACTGTGCGCCTCTGGAACACGGTAATAGGCGAGCTATAGCAGACTCTCGAGGGCTATTCCGCTTAGGTTCACTCAGTAGCCTTCTCGCCCGATGGCGCGCTATTAGCGTCCGGCTCTAATAATAACACCGTGCGCCTCTAGAACACGGCGATAGGCGCGCTATAGCAGACTCTTAAGGGCCATTTAGCTTCTATTTAGTCAGTAGCCTTCTCGCCCGAAGGCGCGCTGCTAGCGTCCGGCTCTGATAATAGTACCGTACGCCTCTAGGACACGGCAATAGGCGCGCTGCAGCAGATTCTCAGTGTTAATAGATCAGTCACTCGCCTTAACTTTGATTAGGATAGGTTATACTTGATCACCAACCTAGGCTCCCTTAATATTCAGTCACATAGTAATTATACGTCTAGCTTAAATAATGTGAATCAGGAGATTTTCATCGAGCAACAGTGGATAAAGCTAAACGGCCAAAACGCACTATAGCTCCCTCCTCGGTCTCGGCCTAGCTATTCCGCGATTAATAGGAATTTACTTGCCCTAGGACACGCATCAGGGCGTATTTCTTTTATAGGATTTCGTGTCTAGCAGCTGTCATTTATTTCCACTTCTATTCCTACCTCTATTCTCTTAATCTCTTTTTAAAAGAAGGGCCTAGGAGGAGAAGAGAATTTAGACGGCTCTACGGTGTTAGTGGAATATTTCATTGAGTTCCACACAGTTTTAAATCCCATACAGTCTTTTGGGTTATAATTTACTATAGGTAACTAGTTCTAGGTCGCTGAGCCAATAACTAGATATAGAAGGCTCCGAGTATCGTAATTGTAAGTTTTTGGGGGGGGGGAAGGGTACTGACATACTCCACTAAACAGAACCTAATATTTAGTCTAGAGTCCGCCCAGTGAGGCCCAGAGTATATACCAGAGTGTAGAACGGTAAAGTTAGTTTTGCAACCCGTCTGAACTGGCACGGCTATTTCTTCTCGTGAGGCTACACCCCTCATAAAGCTGCCGGCCCTCACGGAAATATAACCCCTTATGGGAGTCACGGGAGTGATCCTAGATAAGGCTGCTGTTCGCTACTAGATCTGCTAGTAGGGGTTCAGTTCGACTGGGAATTTTGTCCATAGCGCAGGAAGATTTGACCACGGGACATATAAGTACAGTATGGATAGATAGATAGATGATTTTATTTACGCTGACCCCTCGCGAGTTGAACCCTGGAATAAGGTATAAGTGTAATAATATATCTATATAAAGAGATCTAGCTATTTATAGTTATAGTAGCTCATCTCCCTGCTACCTAGCGGAGTGTCTACCTAACAGGCAGCCACTCCTATAGATCTATATATATCACGTGACCTAGGATCCAACTTCGACGAGGGGTCAGCGTAAATAAATTACACACACACATATATACTATAGTAGCTTTTCAGACTTAATATAAGACGAATCTTTCTATAAAACGAAAGGTGCCGCTAGAAGCAGAGTTTCAATTATCGGACTCTACAATAGTCAAGCCTGCGTGTCGAAAATGGCCTTCTAGTATTAGCTTCTCTTGCCCCAACCTAATTAATATATCGTTCGAGAAAGGAGTCGAATTCTCGGTCGGGGTCTTCTGCGTAGTAGCTCTAATTGCGTCTTATAGAGCCTTTAAGTTCGGCAAAAAACTCTTCAATTAGGTTTAGGTCCGGCGAGTAAGGGGGCAAATAAACTAGCTTAACTCTCGTATTAGCACATATCTATATAATCCACTCGGAGTAGTAAAACAATGTATTATCTATGACTAGAACAGACTTTAGCTCCGGCTATCTTCCACAGTGACGAAGAAGTTGATCAATAAAATCCTCGAACATAGCGGCATCGGTTGAGCCGTAAAAGACGCGAGAGAGTATAATACCGTCCTCAGTATACGCAGGCAAGATTTAATATCGTTCGTCACGATAGAATTATGATACCTATCGTGGTGCTACACCGAGTGGTAACCAGCCTATCCGTCGGAACCCAATTCGTTTATTATATCCAGATTCACTAATATAAATAAGGTGGTACGACTCAAACTCGGAGAGGTTATAGAGATAAACTTCTCGTAATTCGGCACTCTACTCTTTAGCAATCTATCGAGCGGTCTTTTTAGACTAGCCTTAGAATACTAAGGCCCTCCTAATACTAGAGGTGGTTACTAGTATCTAGAATTTATCCTATAGGAAGATAGCCATCTCCTCGAGGTACAGACCTAGCTTTTCCAGCAAATAGTCAAGGAGCGCTTCTAGCATCGGTGGTGTTATACTTCGTCTCCGACCGACATAGGTTAGGGGAGCATGGACGTGTCCAAACAGTCGCAAGTTCCTATGGATATTTTTGATCGTTTGTTCGCTATATTCTACTGCCTCGGCCATTTGAGAACGGGTTAACGACTGGCTTTGTATTATATCGCTGATAAGATGTAGCTTAGAAGGGGGTAGTCTCGGTGCTATATTACACAGAAATGCTAGCAGATCTCGAAAAGTGGTTATGCGAAGGATAGGAGGTCGGGCTATGGAGGGGCAGTGAGGTAGCCCGTGTAAAGTACGGTATTATATGTAAAGCCTCCGTTCTGGAAATAAAAAAGGGTCTATTATTAGGAAAGGATTATTTATACCCTACTTTAATATAGATTAGTGTAGTCTCAGGTGCGGCCCGAGAAATAAAGTGTCAGTGTCTAGGGGGTGGGAAACTATTTTCGAATTCTAGTGTTTGGCCACGGTTACCCCATACCGGAAACTCTAATTACGGTAATTTTGTTAATCTACCAGAGATACATCAAGAAAAGATAGGGGGAACTTTCCCTGACCGAATTCAGTTTAGCGCGATCGGAGTGGGGCGCTAGGAAAGAAAGCGTCAGTGTCTAAGGGGTAATCTGTTTTCGAATTCTACTATACCGCGTCAACACACCACTCTAGAAAGTGATCAAAACCTTGATCCGGGTTCGTCTCATATATAATCTATTTTCGCTTAATGAATTGCTGAATCTCGGAAAAGAATTCTTCAATAGGATTCAAACCTAGTGAATATAGCGGGATATATATCAGCTTAACGTTATAATCCGAGCACATTTGCAGGATCTTCGCCGCCCGGTGGAAAGAAGCGTCATCCATAATAAGGATAGACTTTAGCGCTAGCCACTGGTTACAGTGTTAAAGAAGTTCGATAAAATCTTCAAAAGTGTCGGCAACAGTACAGCCTTAAAATACCCGTCGTAGGACGACTCCGTCCTATAAATATGCAGGAAGTATCTAATAGCGATTATTACGATAAAACTTAGAAACCTAGACTGGTATAACCCCGAGAGGGGACCAGCCAGTTCGTCGAAAGCCAGCCCTTTTATCGTAACCTAACTTATCCACAAAAATCAGATAGTACAATCTAAAGCCAGATATATTCCGGAGGTAAAAGTCGCGTAAATCCGTATGCTGTTCCTTTGTAACCTGTCGAGCTGCTTTCTTATACCACCCCACAGAAGCGCGCCCGGCTGATACTTTGAATCGTGATATGTTTCCCAAATTCGTCCCACAGAAAGAGTGCTATCTCGTCTTGTTATACAGTACGTCTCGAAACTGGCGCCACCACCTTCACTCTTTGATTGTTTCCCGAACCCTGATTGCTAAGATTGCTAAGCCGCGTTAGTCCACATGTGAATGATTCCAGACTGTCTGCCAGGGAAAACTATATTATATTATACACAAAATGACAAGGACAGTGGTTAGCCATATATTACTTATATAGTAAACACACCAGCACCTAATTGCTTCACCTTAAAAATTAACGTCCCTTAGTACGGTGAGAGATCAGTGACAATCGATCCCTTAAACGGTTAAGCCAGAAGCAAAGAATGGCGCCCAATCTAGCCCCCTCGAAGCACGAGCTTATCCACAATATGATTAGCAGTGGAGAGCTGTCTACATCACAGATTGGCAAAGCTGCCAGCTATAGTAAGCGTACTAGCCTAAGAATCTCTAACATACGGATATTTAACAGCGTTAAAACACCACCTAACCAAGGTGGAAGGCCCCGAAGCATTACACTAGTTATATTGGAAGCTCTTTGCGTCTATCTACTTGAGAACCCCGACTTATATCTTAATAAGATGGCTATTTTCCTATGGGACGAGTTCGACGTCTACGCCACGAAATCTAGTATTAGTTGCGTTCTTGTATTTAAAGGATAGTCGAAAAAAGCCGCCTGGCAGAAGGCGAAAGAGCGCAATCTCGCCCTAAGAGATGACTACTTTCACTTTATTTAGAATTTCTATTCGTACCACCTTGTCTACGTGGATAAATCTGGGTGTGATAAACGAATAGGCTTTAAACGAACGAGTTAGTCCCTATTAGGTATAGCACCAGTCTAAGTGTCTAAATTTCACTGTGGTAGAAGATATTAGATACTACCCGTATATGCCTAAGATGATATTGTTTTGTCTCGAGTATTTTAAGGTTTAACTGATACGTTCGCCTTTAAGGTCTTATTAGAGAGCTTCTCCAGCATTATGGGAAATGGCCGGAGCCGAAGCCTATTTTAGTCGTGGACAACGCATCTTTATATCACTCTGAGCGGATAGAGCAGCTATGCTCAGAAGTAGGTGTAAAGCTAGTGTTTTTGCCTCTATATTATTATAAACCTAAATCCTATTAAGGAGTTATTTGCCGAGCTAAAGGCCTTTATTCGGCGGCACTAGCTGTCTTACGAAGATAAGCCAGATCAAGGATTTGAGAACTACCTAGGATAGAGCGTTGGTATAGTCGGATCAAGGGCGGGAAGCGCGAAAGGTCACTTCCGGCACGCAGGCCTGACTATTAAGGAAGTGTAGCGTATCTATTATTATATCACCTCTACCAATCTTTCAATATCATCGGAATGGCCAAGCGCTCGTATTTTATAGTGTCTAAAACCGCGCCTACTATATCAGACGTATCTAAACGTCGCTTTTAGTGGAAGGGTATCTCTAGTTCTGCTTACAGCTATTTTCGAAATCGGCTTGACTAATACACACTTACTCTCTATTTGCTCGACCCACCGCCAAGCCCTTAGCGCACATCAATTATTGAGCGGGGTGCAGTGATGTATGTTCATAAGTTATAGCATCTAGCTCTGTAATATTACACTACGCGTACGAAGGTCGTAGAATTCCATAGAGCCACGGAAAATCTGGTTGCCCTCAGCCTCCCTCCTAACCCCGCCCGCTCCTAACTAATTTTCCACATTTATGTAGATAACCTCCCCTCCACGACATTTTATCCTCCTATATTCCCTACGAGTTTATCAAACAGCTATCCTATACCAAGTTTCTAATATTTACTAAGTGCATTATAGAAGCCCGGGCTCCTTTATCCCGTGACGATTACACGGTTAGGTGGATCTATGCCCTACCGCTGGAAATAGCAGCCGCGCAAATGCTCCTAGATAAAGTCCACGAAGACTTACCTGTGCAGCCGAATGACCACAATACTTATACTCTTAGACGCATTGGGAGACACAATGTTATGATTGTATGCTTGCCTGACGGTTAATATAGCATTACGTCTGCTACCGCAGTTACTATGCACTTATTATCCAGCTTCCGCTCTATTCGATTTAGTCTGATAGTTGGGATTAGAGGAGGGATACCAAATAAAAATGTGGATATCCGCCTAGGTGATATTGTGGTCAGCAAGCCAACGGATATATATGGCGGGGTGGTGCAATTTGATTATGGTAAAGCGCTGAGTGGCGGCGAGTTCCAGCGAATAGGCATGCTTAGCTATCTACCGCTAGTCCTCCTAACTGCGCTTACCAAACTGCAAGCAAGCTATATCGCAAATCATATATCGGGCCGGAGACAATTCATAGATATTCTTGTCGAGATTGAACGCAAAGTACCACGACAATCTTCCACTTTGACCCGCCCAACTTAGGAGGATCATCTATATCTTACCGATTATAATTATGTCGATATCAGCTCCAAGAATTGTGACGGCTGTGATAAGGCTAAGACTGTTCCTCGGCCTTCTCGAGATCCAAATCAGCCTATAGTCCACTATGGACTGATTGCATCTGCGAATCAAGTAGTGAAAGACAGTTAACTACGGGATCAGTTAGGTCATGAATTGGGTGCGTATTACGTGGAGATGGAAGCTGCGGGACTCATGAATAATTATCCATATCTGGTTATTCGTGGAATCTGCGACTATGCCGACTCGCATAAGAATAAGCAATGGCAGGGTTATGCCGCCGCCAGTGCTGCGGCATATGCCAAAGAGCTTCTTTTAGTGACCTCGTTTGCTTATATCGATCAAACACCACCAGTGCCTTATCCTCCGTTTAGTCCTGGTATGTATATATCATTTGTGTGACGCATGAATGTCTTGTGGCCTGAGGGAGGCCTGAGGGGGAACGTGATCTGGAAGGAGCCGTGGGTCTAACCCGATTCGGGATAGAAGTGGGTTTGTTTCGTAGATGCTCGTTTCCCTCTTTCTCTTCTTCTTCTTCTCCAGTTTAGTTGCTTCTGTTAATAATACACGAATTCTTCTTCGTCTTAGTCGGTAACATATAACTAAACTCGTCTTTTCTCTTTCTTGTCGCCTCTAGGTGCAGTCCAGACATCAGACACTTCGCTGTCGCTGTCTCGCCTCACTAGTGACACTATTTAACGAATCAGAACCGAACGAACGAACCCCGAACCGAACCTTTGCCGAACGCCACGACGGAACGACGTTATGGTTAAAGGAACCGACACCTATACGAAGTCTAAGTCGCGTGACCGACGCGGGAGACGCACCGCACCGACTAAGAACTTTCTCTCCGAGGAGGGGGATAATAAGGAGAATATCTAAGAGGAGCTCGCTAAGGAATAGGAGCTACCTAAGTTCTCGACCCTGTCTCGGAACCTATTAAGATATCGTAATATAATTAGCTTCGAGGTCGATAACCCAGAGGCTAAGGACCTTATCCGCCGGGAGTTTTACTCTAAGGATCAGTTCCGAAAGAAAGTCTAAGAGGATATAAATAGCCTATAGGAATAACTGATCTAGCGCGAGACCTATTAGACCTAATAAGACCTACAGACCTCTGGAGATATATATTTAGTATAACTTCTGCGGACTAATAACGGGTAACTTAAGGCTACTATTATTAACCTAACCTAAGAGCGAGATAAGGCTACTACCTACCGGGATCTTATAGTTAGCGAACGGAATAACCTTACTTTCTAGCTCCTTTAATCCTTAGCGCCGAGCCCTCAAAATACTCTGAACTATCGAGACCCCTAAGTCCCTAAAGCCTAAGGCTATCTGTCGGCTAAAATACCTAATACTCCTATATTAGATAATAGTAAGATAGTTCGATTTAACGCCTAGGCTACGATAATTAAATATAAGCTAGCTACGAACGCCGATTATTATCCCACTGCCAAATATCGTATAATCTACGTTATAAGCTATTACGAAGGGAAGGCACTTCTTTATATCTACCTCGTCTAGAAGAAGATACCTTAAACCCCTATTAGGACGCCCTAGATATTATAGAGCACCTAAAGGGTGTCTTCCAGAACCCGAAACTGTGCTACTAAGGCTTATTAGGAATACTAATATCTAATAATAAAGCTAAGAGACGACTTCTATGATTTTCTCGCCAAATTTATTTGTCTCGCCGAAGAAATAAATTAACTAGAGAATCGCTAAAAGCGAGACCTTTACGATAAGCTACCGAACTTACTATAGACCTAAATAATATTACTTATAGATAAGACTTCCGTTAATTTTAATAAGTTTGTCCGTACTTACTAAAGCGCCGCTCACAATATCACCCTTTAATTTAAGGCTAAGGAGTCCTATAAACTAACTACCCTCTTTAGAGCCACTACGGGAGCCTTAGCTAGCATAACCTATTCCCGCGTCTTGTAGTTACTATTCGTAAAGCGCGAGAGTATAAGCGCCGCTCTATATAAGCCACTATCGGTTAATAAACGTAACGCTTTAATAAAGGAAGGTCGCTACTTTAACTGCTGCGAGTAAGGGTATATAACTCGTGAGTGCCCGAAGAAGAATACTATCTTTACGATCGCTACTGCTAAACTTTAGGCACTCGAATAGCTGCCTAACCCCCCTTAGGATAATTAGTCGGGAAAAGTTTAAACCTAGAAGAAGTCTCCTTTCTAGGTAGTAAGAAGTTATCACTTTATTCTCTGGATTTAACTAGATTATTTAGATTAGGCGAAAGTCTTAGTTTTACCGCTTAGATAGCCTATAATAGATATTCTCTTTTAATTTTAGCACTTAGTGATACCGGAGCAGGTAGTTATATCTATATCGATTTATCCCTCGCGGTATAGGCCGCGAAGGTATTTAGCCTATATACTCTACCCTTATCTTACCCGATCCTAACTAAGGGCTACGATAGATACCCGGGAAAACTAATCACTTATGCCCTCGAATTAACCCTAATTCTTAATAGCCAGAGACTCCTCCGCCTACCTATATTAATCACTAATCTCGGATAATATAACCTAATTCTTAGGCGGATATAGTTTAAGGAGTTCGGTATTTTCCCGGACTACCGGAAAGGACGACTTATCTAGCCTAAGGAGCCTAGTCTCGAGGATAACGTAACCACGAAGATACCTACTATTCTCCCTCGGGCTATTCTAAGAAAACTAAAGCCAGATTCTTAACACTAAGAGGACGCTAACCGACAAAATAGGCTATTTCACGACTTCCCTTAACCGCGGATGGCTAGAAAGCTTCTTCTATTTAGGGGTAACTAAGTCCGTGACCTAGAGCCTTTATAGTAACCACGAAAACCTTAAGAACGCTATATTAGTCCCTTAGATATAGTTATACTTATCGGAGGCACTAGGTTTCACCGGTATATTAAGAAGGAAGGTAATAAGGTCTTCCTTACTTCTCTCTATAAGATCGACTATATCCTAAAAGAGAAGCGAGATACCTAACGATAGGCTAAAGACTAAGAGACACAGAGTGTGATCCCGGAGGAGTACTATAAGTATACCGACGTTTTCTCGAAATAGGATTTAAATACCTTATCGCCACACCGAGGTACAACCGATTATCAGATCCTTCTTAATAAGGGAATAACGCCCGGATACTGCCCTCTTTATAAGTAGTCCGAGGAAGAACTCTAGGCGACAAAAGCCTATATCACCCAGAACCTTACCTAAGGCTTTATTGTGCCTAGTAAGGCCCCCTACGTATCTCCTATCCTAATAGTTAGGAAAGCTAATAATAGTCTGCGGCTCTATATAGATTATCGGAAGCTTAACGCGCTTACGAAGAAAGACCGTTACCCTCTATCACTTATTAATAAGATTCTCTAACGGCTTAGGAAGGCTAAGATACTCATAAGACTCGATATTCGTTAAAGGTTCTATCGAATCCGGATATATCCTAACTCAGAGGATCTCACCACCTTTCGAACGCGCTATAGATCCTTTAAGTATAAGGTAATACCCTTTAGCGTCATAAATAGGCCTACTACGTTCCAGAGATTTATTAATAAGACACTAGGCGATTACCTAGACAATATCGCTATTATATTTATCGATAATATCCTAATTTATAGCGAGATAATTAAGGAACATATCTAGCATATAAAGAAGGTCCTATAACGACTCTGTGAGGCCGGCCTATAGGCGAGCCTAGGTAAGTATAAGTTCTATTAGCAGAGCACCTATTTCCTAGGGTTTATTATTAGTACCGAAGGGGTCCGTATAGATCCTACTAAGACTACTATTATTTGAGATTAGTAGTAACCTATAATAGTTCGCGGTATACGATCGTTCCTTAGCTTCTGCGGTTTTTATCGGAGGTTCGTTAAGAACTATAGCCGAATCGCGAAACTATTAAACCGCCTAATAGAAGATAATATACCCTTCGAATAGAGTGAGGCCTACGAAAGTGCCTTCCGAGGACTTAAGGAGAAGCTCACTTTAGCCTCGATCCTAGTATATTATAACCTAACCGCTCCGACTAAGATTAAGACTGACGTATCTAATAGGTGCGTTAGTGGAGTGATATCCTAATTATAACTCGATAGATATTAGTACTTAGTGAGCTTCTATTCGAAAAAACTCGATTAAGCCTAGTAGCGATATAATACGTATAATTATGAAATACTCGTAATCGTCCTCGTATTAGAGGAGTAGAGGGCGGAGCTTAAAGGCCTCTAGCGAGAAGATCGGTTTAATATCTTCTCCGATTATTAAGCCCTACAGTATTTTATAACTACTAAGAAACTAAATTCGCGTTAGGCTCACTAGGCTAAGTTCCTATCCCGATTCCACTTCTTAATCCGTTACTTTATAGGGAAGCGGAATATTATTGTAAATACCCTCTCCCAAAAAGATCTTAGTTTAGGAAACGGACGAGAACAGATTCTTCTCCCTCGGTTGTGTCTCGAGCATAGCGTATACCCCAAGGACCGCGACGACCCTACCCCTACCCTAATTAGTACCTCCGAATATATTTTAACGGCTACCAGTAGCTCTAATATTATCACCTAAGTGACCCTTACGAACTAATAATACGAGAGTCTCGAGGAATACCGAGAATTAGCAAGAACTAATCCGGATAGACCTTAAAAACTATAAGATAGGCTACTATTAAATATAGGTCGCCTAGTAATGCCAGATAATAGGGACTTACGGGCCCGGTTACTTAATAAGATCTATCGGTAGCCCTTAACGGCGTATCCCAGATAGGATAAGATAAAGGCTCTCCTATCCACACAGTATTTCTGGCCTAGATAGTCTACTAACGTTAAACGTTATATAGATAACTGTTTAGTCTATAAGCGTATAAAGATATAGAGAGACCGGCCCCTAAGTCTATTATAACCTCTTCCCCGCCAGACTGTCTATAGTAGTATATCACGATAGATTTCCGATCGTTCCCTAAAGATAAGCGGGGTTTCGACGTAGTGTTTATGGTGGTTAACCGGTTAAGTAAGCGGCCAGTCTCCCTTCTATATTATAAGATAATTGGAGCTCCAGAGATAGCCTAGTTATTTATCTCTGATATTATACGGTACTTTGGCCTACTAGACTTAATCGTATTAGACTAGGGAGGCCAATTTATCTTAGTATTCTAGACAGAGGTCTACTAAGTCCTAAGGATTAAGCGTAAGCTATCGACAGTATATTACCCCTAGATAGATAGCCAGAGCGAGATTGCGAACTAATATATAATATAGCGACTTCGTGTGTTAGTGAATTAACGCTAGGACGATTAGTCTGACTGGCTTCCGGTAACGGATTTTGCCGCTATAGCTCTATAGCAGGATTCTACTAAGAGGTCTCCCTTCTTTATTAAGCGAGGATATAAGCCCCGGATATCCTTTAACTAGGACGCACCCGCGGAACCGTCTACGTCGCCTTAGTTAACGTAGGATACTTAGGACTACGTTTGGCGACTCTAAGAGGTCTGGAAAGATACCCAAAAGGAGATTAAATAAGCCTAGGAGCGTTAGCGCGCCTAAGCTAATAAATACCGCCGGGAAGTAGATTTTAATATTAGTGATCTTATCTTTATTACCACTAGGAATTAGAAACTTGACCGGCTAAGTAGAAAACTCTCTGATTAGTCTAGTGGCCCCTACAAAATCCTCTCGAAGGAAGGTTATAGCTATTGGCTCGACTTACCGTCTTCTATTAAGGTTAACTTAGTCTTTTTTCCAGATAAGCTCCGCCGTGCGGCGAGTTCCGATCCGCTCATAGGTCAGATCGCAGACCTAGCTTTACTAATAGAAGTTAACGACTAATAGGAATAGGAAGTCGATAAAATCGTAGACGTCCGACTACGCTATCGGAAGCTTTAATATAAGGCTAGGTAGATCGGTATTAAGGACGACGACTGGTATCCCGCAGGGGATTTTAAAAATGCTCCGAATAAGTTAATAGCTTTCTATAAGCGTTACCTAGCCCTGCCCGGACCGCCTATACGGTTATTAGTGTGGTTGGACGCTGCTTTAAATAATTACTTTGTGGATAATTATCTAGATAATGGAAGACCAGAGCCTCGGGGCGAGCCTCTTTAAAAAGGGGGACTATATAACGTATGAATGTCTTGTGGCCTGAGGGAGGCCTGAGGGGGAACGTGATCTGGAAGGAGCCGTGGGTCTAACCCGATTCGGGATAGAAGTGGGTTTGTTTCGTAGATGCTCGTTTCCCTCTTTCTCTCTTCTTCTTCTTCTCCAGTTTAGTTGCTTCTGTTAATGATACACGAATTCTTCTTCGTCTTGGTCGGTAACAATTTGCATTATCTATTATGCAAAGCATAATAATCTTATTCAGATACGAAAGACCCGTCCAGTATGATCCTTACTTCCCAACCCAATCCACCAGTGGTGATTAATCAGAGTGAGCTAGGCGGAGTCTACCTGGGCACGATCAGGGGCGAAGAGATAATCCCGAGCCTAATCCAAAAACCTGACTATTGGAGGAGAGAGATTAATGCACTGATAACGCGGCTACTCTCAATCCATCCCCAGTAGTGGGTAGAGCGACAGAATCAGACAGCGAAGACTATAAATGATTTCTTCGCTCGCAACAAGCTCACCTTCAGAGTCAACCTTCATCTAATGAAGGACGAACGGCCAGTCTACACTAAATATGATCGCTAGTATCTTAATGCACTGTTCTATCATAATCTAGGGTAGATAAATTTCAAAGATCCAGGCGTTCCAGCGATCAATATAGGTATACTTAACCTATGGTCTATCCTTAAGTTTCTAGATAGAAATTGATCAATTAATGTGTACTGTGGAGAAGGCCATTCCAAATATACGTTCATAGATACATTTGTGAAGTATCGTTATGCTCTGGGTTACTTACCTCTGTCCTCTAAGTGGTTAAGGGAATTGACCATCTAGTTCAGGATCCCCACGTCCTATGCTCTTCGAGAAGCGATCGAAGAGTATAGGTGGTGACACCGATTTCCCGACGTACCATAATAAACTTCCTCTAAGAGGCCCAAGGCAAACAGAACATAATCCCGCAGATTAGATATACTGTGCACCCTATTAGGAAATTTGTAGCCACCTAGCATATTATCTAGGAGCCAGGCAACCCCTGCAGATTCTATAGCGATGCTACCGCCATTCCTCTCTAGGACTAGCCTACTTAGCATCCGCGGAATTTCCCTATATTTTTGTATAGTGATTCGAATTAACCCGGAAGAATCGTGTCGTAGTATACGGGTATAACCCCTAGAGATTTATTCAACAGATCTTTAGTATCAGTTCAATTAATTTATCCACCCCGACTATCCGGTTAGCTCGATAGGTCTGCAGAATACTAGCCTATACGGAAATCCTCCTTTCTGACATATTCCTCTGGGTTCTTATCCGCGTTACGGAATTTACATAGTAAAATACTATACTATACAGTGAGCATATCACGGTGCCCCTTATTTGAATACGGCCCCCTCAATAATTAACCTGCGCTAAGGCCTTGGCGGTAGGGCCAGAAAAGAGTAATCAAGTGTGTATTGGTCAAGGCAATTTCGAGAACGACTGTAACGCGGGTTATATTAATAAGGGTGAGAGTACAAACAGAGATTATTCGTAACTTTCTTACTGTAAGTAACTTTCTTATAGTAAGGGAGTACTCTCCTACTGTATAATTACATATTATATATAGCTTAGTCCACGACTATAACCATTTCCCCTAGGGCCTTATTCTTCTCTATTAAACGGTGCGCTTCGCTAATCTCCTCAAACTTAAAAACTTTCCATAGCTCGGTATTTAGCTCTCCACCTACCGCCATCTTAACGATTTCCGCGAGGGGCATATCTGATAGGGGAAATTCAGGAGTTCCGAAAGCTACCAAAGAAACTGAAATGAACGCCACTTACTATCTATAGAAGTGGATTGAAATCCGGTACCGGCGCCAGGCCTCCTAGAAAACCCGCTAGACAAACTCTACCACTACGATAAACCATTTTCAGCGAGTTAAGAATAGTGCTATTGCCTATAAGCTCGAGAATCGCATCGAACTTAACGGGGAAGCGTTTAGATAAGTTTAGTCCTTCAGTCACCACTCTCTCTACACCCAGAGCCGTCAGCTAAGTCGCTCGTCCTTTATTGCGGGTTATCGCTATAACATAAGCTCCAGCGTAGACGGCGAGATTAATTGCCGCTCTGCCGAATGCGGAGGTCCCGCCGCGGATTAAGAGCTTTTGCCCGCTTAAGAGCTCAAGGTTTCGAAATAAGCAAGTCCATGCTATAGCGTATAATTCCGGAATAGTAGCTAGCTGATCCTAACGAAGCTTTAAAGCTGCTAAGCCGAGTGCAATAACATTTGAGACCTTAGCTTTCGTGAACTGAGTATAGCTACCGCTAATAGTGCGCCCGAGACCGCCCATAAGACTCGCTATAGGAGTTCCCTCCTCGAATTCACCACTAGGGCAGGCCTTAACTATACCGACGCACTTAATGCCACTAATAGGCATCCACTCCGCCCACTCGCCTTTCCGTATATGTATTTCGGCATAATTGACCCCAAAAGCTTTCACGCGAATGATAACGTGGCCTCCTTCCGGTTCTGGTGGGGCAATATCCTTAATAATAAGCGACTCCGGCCCGCCAAATTCTTCAATCACGATCGCCTTTATAGTGAAATCGTTCACTTTAACGTTAAGGAAAGGTAAATTCAGAAATTTTAACGGAGAGTTGGGAGCTTTTTTAGCTTTGAATTTTTCGAGCTTGAAAATCACCGCAATCCTGTTACGCATTTATACAATAATAATTGCATTTGCTCACTTAATTATATTTAATTTACTATCTCCCCTCTTACGCCACTGCGAGTCTAGGTTGATGCCTGCCGTGGCTAATAGCTAATTCTGCGTAAACGCTATATGCATTACTGTTTTATCGTGTTAATGTTATTTGACGAAGTTTGACGAAACTCCACACGATTACTCTCCGCGGTCGGACTCGCAGAAGAATGATCCGTTAATCTGAGGAGAGTGTAAATGCTATATTTCCCGTAAGAAGACCGTCGTAGTATCTTAGGCTTTCGTTAAAGAAAAAGTTGAGGTATATCGGAGTGCGACGATTTTCGGATGGCACGGAATACTTACTATCATCATCCTCGCGATGTCATGGATCACCTATACAGTTATAAGACATAGCATTATACAATAGTTAGAGTAAGATACTGTATAGATATTGATACAGGAACATTAATATTCCGGGGCTATTCTAGATACAGACTAGTTAATCTTAGCATTGGGGTTGGGGAAGAAACAAAGAGTGTAGGTGGTGGCACCAGTTTCGAGACATACTGTAAGATCGGGATCCTGTAATCTTCGAGTGACCGGTACCTGATCGAAAAGGCGGGAAACGATTTACTTAGCTGCGATTAAGACTATTATAATACAAATTTGTTATTATATACCGAGCGGGAACTAACCCCGGCCTAATAGCGGACCCACTAACGGGGCCTCCCGAGATTCCTCCTATAAACCCAGAACGCACTACTAAAATTCTCTCGGTTAAGGACT